GGTCAGCGACGCAGCTGGCCACAAATGGATTGGGATCAATATTCTCGTGACAGGACAGAAACGGGAAGAACAGGAGGGCGCTGCATTTCTCAATGGCATCCTGCAGGCAGGAACAGCACGGCAATGGAGACGAAAGACGCACCAACTATTTGGAAGTCAAAACTCAACCCGTGACACTTCCTTGATATTCACAGACGCGGTAGTATCACAATTTTTGACTACTAGCACTCAAACTTATAAGACGTAACTTTGGGCGATCACAGGGCACACATAGAAAGGGATCAATTCAACCAAGATTACTGTACTGGTGTAATTGAGTAGTTTGATATTACGCGCTGTGATCTGTATCTGTAAAGACTTTCAGTGCAGTGTGACAGTGGGGTTCTCACGTCCATGTCTGATTCGGAGTCACACGGTCCAATGAAGTCGAGGTCCACTGAAGGACAGGCTCTTTCATGAGGCAGGTCAATTGCCCAGCTGTTAGCAAACACTGCAGGCTCATCGGTTCGTACGCCTGAAAATACACTCGTGACACAAGGTGCACAGGGACAGGCAATGATGACAAAGTACTCGCCCTCCAATTTTCATGGCGAATACTTCGTCAGATTTAATACCATGCCGCGCCTAGCTAAAATGAGCTTTTCACAATGTTTCAGATTGTGGACAACTTCAGTGAATTCGACAAAGTACTCGCCCTCCAATTTTCATGGCGAATATTTCGTCAGATTTAATACCATGCCGCGCCTCGCTAAAATGAGCTTCACAATGTTTCAGATTGCGGACAACTTCAGTGAATTTCAGGTTACACACAGTTGCTTCCTTTCGAGCTGTCATATATTGAAGGCACTCAAAAAGACGATTAGTTAGATGTTAGAACTAACCAAAGCTCAGCAATTTAGCATCAGGATGAAGCTTCTGATAAAATAATTCAAAGACAGCGTTTACATACTCGAACCCTAATATTCATTGAGAATATCTGTGCCGACAGAAGGGATAAGAGAACGAGGAAGCGACGCTTACCGCGGGCGGTGGTGAGGTCATCACCCGCTATGTTGTTGAAATTCCCACATAAGCCACAGGGGGCACCCTGGTGCTCTTCGCTCATCTTCAGGTAGACCCCCGAGCCTCCATCCCATGCCAGAGAAAATCCAAAAACACTCTTCACCAGCAGGTAATCGGCCAGCCGCTCGATAAAAACGCCACCTATGGTGTGAGGCAGACTGAGCCTGCAATTACACAAAGACAGGCTTTTCCAGCTTTGAAAATCCTCCACAAAATAGGCTATTAACGACATGATGAGCTCTGCACATCACATACCTGCGTCCTCCCTGGTGGACATGGTATGCAGATATGTGGATCTCTTCCTCATTTGGGAATAGCAGGCTGAGAGCTCTTGGACACGAATACACACTTCCGTCGCACACTCGGCTGTTGTGCACCTGGAGACACGCCAAAAGGACCAGTTAATGAGGAATGCAGAAATGCCCAAATCCTCAGCTATATTTATAGTGCTCCCCTTCACTCAAGGCTCGAAATATACACAAATCAGCCCTCAAGGCCGGAGACACTGTACCTCAAATGTGGCATATTAGCTGGGTCTCTAGTGTGAGTGAGAAATAACCCATCAAATGTCTACGTTAAAGACATACCTTGAAATACAAATCCTACAATGCTAGGGTCAAAAAGTAAAATGCATTTAAATGTGCGGTGCCTTTTTTTTGGGGGGGGGGGGCGTTCAGTGTGCTTGTCCTTACCCACACAGTATACTGTGGTGTCGCAGAGTGACAGTCCTGTGCCAGTATGTAGGAACACGTCCCAGGAAAGTAGAAGTAAATCCCATCAAAGGTCTCATAGTGGTGCTGACCCCATGACCTGCAGATCCCATCTCTGTCTTGACCCTGGTTGGGTACTGACGGATCAGTTTTAGGTTTTGGAGACATAAATTCAATGAATTTTAAAAAATTTTGAAAACCTTCTCACTTTTATTATTGGATGTCATCATCATCTTGTATTTAAGGAGGATTCCCCCAGCCCCCACCACCACCTTAAACGCTCTTCACGGTTTGATGAATCTCCACAGCTGACGATGCTGACATTTAGGGGGGTCCGATGGTGGATAAAGTGAATCATCTTATCTCTTTAGCAAAGGCCACATTTTACATCTACTATTAATCAGTAAATGAGTTGATAAAAGATCCAATTACCCCATCTAAACGTGCTCAACTGCTTGAACGACTCACCTTATCGAATGATATAATTGGTCATACTGAAATGGGCTTTGGTGAAAAGAAAAAAAAGCACTTTGATATTGCCGGGTGCCATATCTCCTTACAACATGTGATTGTATGCTAATTTAGATTAAAAATGTCTTCATGACTATTTTCCTGCTGTCTGTGTGGGATAGAGAGCAAAGGATCTGCAGAAATTAATTATGCTGCAGTACATACATCTTTCATGAATACTTACTAAATAACCAGGGAGTATGGCGTGCGTACAAGAACATATGCAAGCATAATTATTACCCACTTCTTCAGTCAACTGCAGAATATGGAATAACTGTGAAACGCCTTCAACCAACAGGCCAGTTGTCTTTATTTTATTTGTGGAGTTAGGATTTAACCACCGAATAATTATTTTATTGCTGATATGTGTTATTTTTGCATTTATCTTACTCACCAATTTGGCAGCGGTTTCCCAGCGCCTGGAACTGGGTACAGTCACACACCCCATCATCTTGACACCAGCCACCATTAAGGCAGCCACAATCCTCTGGAGAGGGAGGAAAAAAAAACCAAAAACAATGCAGGGCCAGCTTCCTTCCCATGACATCTTCGTCATCAACATCTTGCTCTTTCAAACCAGCAGGGTGCTTACCTGATGAGGAGTCTCTGGCTGTATAGTTGTGCAGCGGTCTGTATGTCTGGTTAACGATTTAAATCAGTGACTGTAAATTTTTTTACATCAAGTACCATTTCACAAAATACTTCGTTTTGACCATTATTAAAATACGGTAGTACAGTGGGCCAAAGTGTTCAATGAAAATGTGTCAGAGGCTTTGCTATATAATACCACATTTTCCAATTTTTTTTAAATGATTTTTTGTTGGTTATTTACTATGGACGGATATATAAAACAGAGCCAAACTGAAGTGCAGCAGTGTGATGTGTGCATCGCGGTTCATATTGCAAAAGCTAATTTGTCCCAAAATGGGCTTTTATAAACAGTTGAAATACAGAGAGGCGTGAAATGACAGCTATATATTTACACAGCATCGTGACATTTACAATTCACTGATGATGAACTTTGACAGAAATTGACATCGCTCTAAAATTGACAGTGTCTCACTGAGAACTTGGAAACGTGTGTCATATTGCGTACAAAGACATCCTTGTATGCCATTTAAGTGTGTGTTTTTTCTTTTTTTTTTTCAGGATGTGGGTGCCCTGACCTGCTCTGGTTCTCTTCGGTGGAGTGTACCAAACTCATCCCACAGGAGATCCCGTTTCCTTCGAAGTGCATTAGCCCGTCTGCACGCACAAACACACACACGAGCGGAAACACACTTTTCACTCCTCTTTACTACAGACAAAGGATACTGTCCGTCACACAGGCTCGAAATCATCATTGGATTTGAAACATTTAAAGTCAGTCAGAACACGTCGTAAGGTACACATTGAGTGCCAATATCTGAGTCAATAAGTCTGTTCATTTATGTCCCAATGAGATGGAAATGAACATAGAGAGCCCAGTTCTTGGACTGAAATGAAGACCTTTCTATCTGCTTCTGCCTTTTTGTAAATTCCATTTGAGCTCACTCTGCATCAGAACTTATCCTCACCTGTCTCATGAAATCTTTACTTTTGTGCTCTCCTTCAAAAAATGTTTGTTTGAATGCGTCGCTTTTAAAAACCACATTCGACTGTAATGTTTTGCTTTTGTTTTGTCTTGACGCTGCCTGGTGTATTCTTGAATTGCCTTGTGTCTTAAATGTGCCATACAAATATAAATCCTTAGGGCAGCAATCTGACACTATGTTGTGTGTAGTGAGCAGTACAGTCGTGTAGATCTGCAGTGTATGACACAATGTTTATACTGATGTTTCATTGACGAAACATAAAAATGTAACCAAAATGGGGAAAAAAAACACATAAAAAAACCACACACAGAAAGAAACCCAGAACCTCTTGACTGTGAGGCAGATGTGTTGCCCTATTTTGCTATTCATTTACCTTTGTAGCTTTGCTTCTGAATCTGAAGGTCGATTCTGGGCTCCTAAACATTCCAGACGATGATAAGAAAACAGAAAAACAAGTATTTTAAAATATCGTATGTTATTCACTTAATTCTGTAGATGTCATACAATTAAATGAAAAACGGCAGGGGTGACTGAGTGTGCCGTATTCGGCAAATGACAACATAGTCTTAGGCTGATGCTTAAACTACAGTAGTTTATTGCTCGCTGCTCGGGAACTTCGACACCCCGTTTTTCGCGGTCATCGTAAACAGAGGGAACGTTGTGTAGTTGAATGAATAAATGAATAAATAAATACATACATACAACACAGGTTTTGAAAGTTCGTGATGAAGAGATGGCTCACTCACCCTCCACAAGAAGGAGGAGGAGCAGGTGGGAGAAAGATAACATGACAACAATCCGTTTCACTCGAGGCTCATCTCAGAATCAGGTGCATGTCACTGGTCTCGGGAGGATATTTGGACCAAGGTGGCCCCCAACTCCCCCTTAAAAACATGAAGTGGCTCGCAAGTAGGAGGGGAAGTGCCTGCGAACTACCTGGTGACGTCACGCAGCCCACTCAACTGGTGACAAGTCAAAATAAGCTAAAGTTCTCAGGTTCTTCTACTTTACATTAGCAAAACGAACTGACTTATTTGGCGTATTTTCATTTTTCATAGGTAGGCGTTTAATGTTGGATTTAAATCTCCAAAGATGCATTGTGACGACAACAGCAGGACAGGAAGACGCAACACTGCCGCTCGACTTCATATGAAAAGTGAATTGATTACAAAGTATTAGTTTTCCCCGAAAATTAACACATTTCATTTTTTCCAACTTTTTAATAAACCTAATACAATACTATCTATCTGTCTATCTATCTACCAGAATTTTATGGCAGTCATAGGTGTGGTGAATACTTTTATTGCATTGAAAATAATGTGATACATATTTTCAAAATAGAAAATTTAATAATCCCTTCTGTGTGCATATTCAACAGCTAATCAAGAAAAATTCTAATTGCCTGTCACCTGTTATTTCATAATCGCATCCAGTAGCAAACATACTATGTACAGTATAGTTGAATAGAGCAGACGGAGGAAAATACACACACAAAGGTTTTCTCAGGTTTGTAGATAGTTTGGTGAATCATCATTAGATAAAGATAAAAATGGAACGTGATGAGTAAATATTTTTAAAAGCTTTGCCGTTCTTAAGGAATCTAACACAGTGGAACCTCAAATTTTAAATGTCCCAAATTTCCTGGGAAAAAGTAACTACCTCTAAATATTACCCTCACCCCTCTAAACAATGAAATCCACCAAGGTTTTTCTTTACCGTTAGATTCTCATACCAAAGGGTGCAGCTGATAGCAAAATGGAAAAGTGTGACAAAAGCGTTTGTTGTGGCCATTCAGTGTAATCAATTAAGTGACATCAATAAAAGACAAGAATGGAAGGTACACCGTATGCTTCAGGCATATCTACATTGAAAGGATGACAAGTTTTAGTGTTAATTCATTCTACTGCACAGTGATCAATTTCTTTAAGGGTGTAAGAATGTCAAATTTAAAAATACATTTTAAATGGTTCTATAATATTTCATACATGTTATACAATTGTAACCGTTTCACACCAGAAATGATCATTTCTATTTCCAGGTCAAAATTTGAATTAATAAAAGTTTGAACAATATCTTTGTATGGGTTTTGTTCAAGCTTTTAGGTTACACTGTAGTTATACCTGCAGCCCACAAATTTTCAACATTGATCACCATTGATGCCCACGTTAGATAAATAGAGTGGAGAAAGCTGAGATAAAATCAGGGTAGTCGTTTCATGTCCCACAGATGTTCATTTCTTTGCAATCAGGGCATTAATGTCATCCTGCGGTTGAAGGCTGTGCCACTGTGCGATTGGCCGCCTCGGGTTGGCGAGCATGTCCGACCAATGATGTTGCTCGGTTCCAGCGACACTCCCGCCCAGCAGAACTTTCCCGATGGCGTCATTTTTTCCAATTTTGTCATAGTCCAACACGGTCACTGCTACCTGCACCTTCTGGAGATGTGGTTTAATACACACACACACACACACACACACACACACACACACACACACACACACACACACACACACACACACACACACACACACGGAAAATGAATTTGTACATTGGTTTTGCCATGATAAAGATAATTAAAGATGCAAGCTGCAATGAAAGGGCGCTCATGCCGCTGATTTCGTGATGTATTCTTAACAGATGGGTGGGGCTAAACTGCCAAGCGTTTTATTTATTTCTTTATTTATTTTTTGCTAAGGGCATTTAATATTTGCAGAGCATGTTATCAAAGTATACCGTTTTAAGATTGGCCGTAGAAAAAGGGGTTTTCATCCTTGCTTGGTAAGATTTGGATTTTCAAACCGTCAGCGACACATGATGGATTGAATACATTGACCCCGTTGTGACACAAGGAGCTAAAGCGGGATCATAGTCAAGAAGACGGCGTTGTTTCCAGCTTTGTTATGGGTGTGGAAATACAATGCAAGAGTTGTCTCTCGATATTTGGCTCAGAGATGATGAAAGAGGCTGACCATATTGCGTCTCATGCAATGGAAAATAATACAGTCAGTGTGCCTGTATGTACCTCTATCTGTTCACACGACACTTCAAAGCTGAATGACTCATTATAGTAAGGGTTCAAAGTGTTCTTCTTGATGGTGGTTTTCTTTTTCTTGAGTCTTTTCCCATTCAGCATTAAGTGGAGCTTCACGTAAGGGTCTGATGGGGAGAATGGGAACAGTCAATGGCGCCGTTTATTTAGCATTTAGCAAGAGTGTTGGCTCCTCAACTGAAGAACTAAAAAGTCTCAGTTGGTCGTGTTTCACTTATAAATTGACATCTCCTGAGATTAGAGAAATATATCTTGTCATTTGACTCACCTGACAATCCACCCACATCCATTTTCTTCAGGTTTTTGGCCTCCAGAATCACGACAGTCAATTTCCCTGCTGTCGGAACATACCTCAAGGACAAACAAATATCTCCGAGCCGCTCACTCTGACGCACAGAAAGAAATGTACTGATAATTCCGGGAAACAACGAACTCCTCATGACCACATATGGTACACAATCAACTAAGACCCAATACATGAAAAAGAGAAACTATCCTCAAAGTGAAAGTATCTTTGACTTAAGCCTTCAAGAGGAGACAAAGCTTCGAGACTTGAGCAGGAATTCAGCTCGTGAATTGACAAAATGTTCTTTAGAAGCTTTGAATACAGCCATTTTGAATTTTGGAGTTATAGCCTGGTGAATAATGTCATACGCACTTAAAATGGTGATAATCTGTGTAAGTAGCAGCCTGTGTGGGTTTTCTGCGGGTACTCAGGTTTCTTCCCACACTCCAAAAACATGCATGGTTGGTTGCTTGGACACTTCAAATTGTCCCTGGGTGTGATTGTGAGCGCGAATGGTTGTTCGTCTATGTGCGACTGGCTGACAACCAGTTCAGGATGTGCCCCGCCTACTCCCCACGACAGTCGTGGGCTTAAGTGGTTCAGATCTTGGATGGAAGGATGTATTTCAAATAAAATGTTTCAATGTCTTCAGATCTGTGATTCTACACTTCTTGAAGCAATACTGGGATAACACAATAATTGTGAGATTTTGACCTGATAATTGGTAAATTTCCTTTTTTGTTTTATACATTCTTACATCACTAACGACATGTGAGTGTTACTTTATTCAGTTCAACATATTTCTTTTACATAATGTGCAGCTAATCCTGTGGAAGTATCATTCACCCACCTCCTCTTTTTCCGCCTTCTGCAGATCCCGCCACTCCTGCAGCGACTGGCTGAAATCCACGCTGCTCATCGGGATCTTCACCACCCCGATGGCATCGTGCTTGGAGAAGCGATCAAAGTCATACACCGTCATCACCAGCGTCTTGCCTCCCAGCTCCGTGTACGCTACCTTTACGGCCGCACATGCATACACAATGTTAGACTACGTATGTATTGCTTCCTCTTTGACATTTTTTGTGATGATACCGCTACACAACAGTACTAATGATGATGAAAGAACAGGAATATGGGAGAAATCCTTTTTTCATACGTTACAGCATGAACTTATTGAGCACAGTGGTGAGCACGTCTGCCTCACAGGATGTGTATGGATCAATTGTTTTTGTTCTTTTTACTTTTGCATATCTGGTTAGACAATTGAAATTCTAATGGGAATTCAATTGATGTTATTTCTTTTGGGGGGTGGGGGGACGATTTGTATCTGAATCTGATGTCGATCAGCATCCTGGAGCAGAATTTTTTGGGGACCTGTAACTAATTTCCACTGTTCATTTCAGCATGGAAAAAAAAAAAAAGAAAAAAAATCACCTTAAATGTGAACGTCTCGTTGAAATTGGGTTCCAGAGTCTTTCTGTGAACTTTGGTTTCAAACTTTTTCTTTTTGTCTGGGAGTAGATAGACTTTAACGTATGGGTCTGAGCTACCACCCACATCCATGGCAGGAAGCCCGGCGGCCTGCAAAATGCCCACCACGAGCTAGCGGGAGAGCAGAGAATATTAAACATTAAGAAAAGTTGGTGTGAGATGACATTTAGGATTTGGCAGCCACCTCACCATGTTATCAGTGAAATTGTAGTCCAGTGTGAAATGCAGTCTGCCCAACTTTTCATCCTCCTTTGGCTGGATGTCTGACAACTCTGTTTCCTTCTTGATTTCAACTTTTAGTGGCTGTACACACACACAACGAACATGCTAACGTGTGCAGCTAGAAAGTGTCTCAGGTTCATACATCCTGACAGCAGCGAAAAACTAAATGAGTGATGTGCATTCCTCATGCGAACACAAAGTAGCAAATCCCGACGTTAGCACCATGAAACATTTTTACAAGCAGAAGGCTGCAGGAAGTGTACCTCGTTGGAACGACCATCATTTTCCGTGTCAAAATCTCCAGCCTTGCTCTTCTCTTTTCCTTTTTTCTTGTCCTTGTCCTTTCTCAGACATTTTTTCCAGGCGCACACGCCAAAGGAGAGCAGGACACACAAACTCACAATCCAAAAGGCTGCCACGACCCACGATGACGCTGCAAAAGAATATACACACGCAAAAAAATAGCCAAACTCATTTAATTTGAATTTTTACTTCACCTGTGGGTAGGTAGGATAAATCAGTGAATGTATTTTTATTCATATTAATGGGGACAACTAGCCATCCATTTATGGAAAATTTACTTTGTAAATGTTTTTAGACAAGTCGTTGAGTCTCATCAAGCGTTACATAATGTGACCAAAATAAAACTTATGTGCCTGTGAGCAAGTTATTCTGAATTTTGCCCGATTGGGACATAATATTGTGAATCCCTGTTTATCACGGATGATACATTTTCGGACACACATGCGATGAGTGAAATTTACAAAATAGACAGAGCATAAATCGCAAAATAGAGAGAGAATAATTTAACCTCTACCACACTCTTTCAATACATATAAACATATGAAAACACAATTTTTTAAAACACATGCAAAAAGCAATTGACCATGTCGGAATATCTACAATCGCTGGCCACAACATTAACACATGAAAGATTCCCATCTTAGCATGACGCAGTTGTACTCTGCTGCAAACCACAACTACATTCAATCAACACTATGTGAAATTAATATCTCTCTGATAGCCTGAATCAAAAGTGAGAAGTTATGATCTTTGTAAAGGCAAAACTCGGTCCAGCTCTTGTATTATTTGATTGAATCATGAGATTGTGAGACTCTACCGAATTGAAATTTCCCAAAGGACTCTGAAAATGTTTTTAGATGGCTAAGGAATTCTGCACAATATGTTTATCATGTCTCAGCACAATGTAAGTTGGACCACAGATACTGCTTTTTAACTCACTGTGGATTCGGTGACGTTCACTCATGAACTTGTCAGGACTTTGCCCTGCAGGGTGCGTTTGGTTTTCTGTGGCGTTGGACCATTGGGTGGCTCTCATTGGATGGAGCGGATCAGCTTGGCGCATTCCCGTCATGTTGTATTCCGGATAGGGCTGGCAATTATATCCTTGTAAAAAAGGGGAACAATTAAGCGTAAAGAAAACAAAACTCAATAGAGCCTCCGTCAAGGCTATCCAAAGTAGGATCAGCACCAAAATATTCGCCTCACAGACAAGTTTTAATGATTTTGAAGTATGGTGTAGCTAAAGGATAACAGTTCTTAAAGACACTGTAAAATGATTTAAGTGATGCAATGAAGTACCGAACTATTGAGACAGCGTTACCCCCGCCCCCCACCCTGCTCCCTATTTCAGCTAGCTGGTAGCCACAGCGTCCAACAAATGGAGGAGATCCCTATTTTGTGACTGATTTGTCCTGATTTGTGACTTTTTGGGGCCTAAAATTGTATTCAATTAAATGGCCTGCTAATATACGTCTTGCCTCTCACAAAACAAACTCCAGCTAAATGCAGCTGATCAATTGACGCTATTTTCTCATCGGTATCAGATGACATCTCCTTTTTCTGCTGTTCAGGCATCAACAGCATAGCAGAACATACGTTGTTCGATTGAGACTGATCGAGCTGTGACACCGGGTGCAGCGAGGTTGCATCGCGCGTGAGGACATGTGTGTGCAATGCTCCAGAGGTGACTGCTATGCGCCAAGGTCACTGTCGTACCCGAAAAACAGCTTTTATTCAGCAGGATTATACTCCTGTTTTTTTTTGTTTTTAACTAAATTAACTACAGAGCTCATCCTCACAAGGGTTGCAGGTGAGCTGCAGGTTATACCAACTGAATTTGGTTGAAAGGTGAACTCCACTTTGTACTGATCAAGACAAACAACCATTTACACTCAAATTCACAACTACAGACAATTTAGAGTCTTGATTGAATCTCACAGGCATGTTTTTGGGAACATAAAGAGGAAGGCGAAACGAAGAAAACCGACATATGAACAGAGAGAAAATGCATAGTTGAGATTCGAATGCAGAATCTCTTGACTGTGAATGTCAGATGTTCTAACATCTAGTCCAACGTGTTTCCCAGTTTCTCCTTTGTATTACAAAAAATACTGACTTAAATATAAAGTAGACAGCTGGAAAATGTTGCAAACATTATTTACAGTACATACAGTACACCTTCACTACAGTAATACACAATCTGTTTCTTTCATTCGGGATCAAAGAATTATGTACAATATACTGTATATGAAACCGTCATACTCCAAATGTTGACAATATGTTACATTAATTGGGCCAACTATTAGTAAATAAATCTTTTGGGTCTTTTTTTTTTTCCAAATTTGTGGCATTTGAAAAAAAATGCCTGTCAACCATCCCAAATTCCTAAAAGAAGACCCGGTCAGCATGATAGCCTTATTCTCAGGCCTATAATGCACCCAAGTGTTTTTAAATACAAGCCAAATTTTGGAAATTGTTTGAAAGTATTCAGCATCAAAGAGAGTCAAAAACAGACCTACCAATTTCCCGACTGTCCAAACAGCAGCGATGTCCGAGCTCATAAGTGCTCCCTTTTTCCCCCCCACATACAGAGAGGAAGAGGAGGAGGAGAGAGGGTGGCAGAACTGGACAGGACAGGCAGAGGACAAGCATGTGGTAAGTGAGAGAGTCAGTGATGTGACGTCCTTTGTGTTTTTGTGCCACTCGGAAAGTTTTATGAGCCAGAATGAGGAATGAGACGTGATAGTTTTTAATGTAAACTTTGGCCATGTTACATCTCAAAGTGTTCATGGGAGTCTCGTGGGAGAGTGGCTATTTTTCTCTGCCTCATCCACACTGTTCAACCCTAATCGGACCACTTCTGAATATTTATCAGTGTAGTGACACTGCTTTTTAAAAGCTTGTTAGCATACTGAAAGTTCAGCAGTAGTGTGCATTAACATTCAGATTAAGCGCATGACCATGCGCGTGTTTGTGTGCGAGCGTCTCACTGCATAGATGCCCTGAGATCGCCTATGTATAGACAATAGCTGCCTGATTTAGAAACTTCGGATGTGGTTTCTGCAGCAACAGAGAGAGATCAGGTTCCGGACCCAGGACCCGTTCACCTTGAAACACCAGAAATGAGCGAGAGATGCTGTACAGAAGGGAGAGTAAGGCAGAGAGAGAGGGTCGGGCGGGGAAGGTGACACACAAAGTGGATTCAAGGATGAATTCTATCATTTTTGACAAAGGTTAAGGTCACTGCGGCTTCAAAAAGACTTCGTAGGCCTTTTTGTGTTGTCTTGGAATACATTGAGGGATTCCTTCCAAAGTTTTACAACAAATCTAGCGGCATTATTAACTAGGAATCAAAACTGAAATAAATGTCACTGAAATGTATTTTGTACAGTCCCACTTGAATGTACTTGATTAATATCTTCGGAGACAAACATTAGTCGAGTTGTGTATTCTTATGACCAATTACCTATAAGTGTAGGTATATACATAGGCTTGCTATTTAAAATGCAGAACATCTTTACTAAAAGTCGACTAAAACAAACCAGTCTTTCCCTCTATTTAAAATGTGGAATAGTGTTTATTATCAACTAACAAAGCTTATCAATTAAAATGGTGGCTTATAGTTCGTTACCCACAAATTTTGAAAATATATTTTAAATGTGGAAAATAATACATGTCTATTTAAAATGTGAACTCTAATTTACGAACAAAAATAAATTTATCATGTTTAATATAATCTAATACTGATTTGATAATTAAAAAAATATGTATTTATACTGTGGAATATTAAAAACTGTCTATATACGTATTTTGTGTGTGTGTGTGTGTGTGTGTGTGTGTGTGTGTGTGTGTGTGTGTGTGTGTGTGTGTGTGTTCGTTCGTAACCACGAAATGTCATAATGTCGTATGTCGGGAAGAACCACGATCAAATTTAATACAGTACTGTAAATGCAACTCATACCGCCAGACGCTAAGCGGCAGTACTGTCGTCTGATCGACATTGCGTATATGTATTTACAAGAGAAGAATCTCCGTCTCCTGGATACAGATGGAAGCGTCGTTGTTTTGGATCCTTCAACGGTGAGTTGTTGTTCTGTTTATTTCCTCAAATATTCTCGTTTGTGTGTGGCGTCGAGACAGACAGAAAGTGTCGCTCTTTGACTCGATCAGGCAGACAAAGGAACAAAATGAGAAGACGTGATTCGCCACTTGTCGTCAGATTAGGAATGAGATAGCTACCAAAGGCTAACGGTGTGTACGTCGATCTAAATGTTATCCAAGTTTGGGTTGAGTGACGGTTTTCATAAAAACGATTAACTGTTGCAGCACGTATAGCTCACGTAAAGTCCAGTGAGTGTATTTCAACAGTTTAGCTTTAAGCATAACCTGCATGTCACGGGAGGATGACACAAAATTTACAAAATAGCTTTATTTGAAGAATTCCGACGAATGAATTTTGTCTGGTAAAACGATCCAACTTGCTGTATGAGTTGTGGTCACCCACCCCCCCTTTTTTTTTCCTCGCGAACATCACATGGAATAAAATCATGTAGCGCAATGTTTTCCACATGCTGTTGCATGTGGAAAACATTTTTTTCTATGCAAAGTCATGAAGCTGAGAAAAATAAAAAAGGTAATCAGTTTCCATCCATCCATTTTCTATAGCGCTTGTCCTTGGCTTGAATATGCTTTGGATCAGCGCTACACACAGTTTGGATAAACCATTCGCCGTCATTTTCAGGACACTTCTAGACAAAAAAAGCCTACACAGTCACATTCACACTTATAGTTTAGAGTCTTAAAAGAGTCTCGTATTTATAGTTCTGGAATTTGGGAGGAGGCGGGAGTAACTGGGGAGGACATGCAAAGTCCACACGGGCAGGCCTAAGCAGTATGGACATAATGTACCTGTATTTGTTTTGCAAATGACCTTCAGGCATTCCTCTTTTCTAGTGATTTGGAATGCCGCCATTTCAGCACCTTCACCAGAAACATGTCCTGCAGACTGTGTGTGCGCTGGAGGCTGTCATCCTGCGCACCTTCGGCCCTGAGGGAGGACAGGTGCTTTTCACCCGAGACAATGGACATTCAATGTTGAGCCGCAGCGGAACACGCATTCTTACGGCGCTACGACTTGACCACCCGCTCGCCAGGTAACTCGAACGACTCGGCTTCCTGCAGTCAGATGTATTAGATGCGTGACTTCATCAGGATCTGGTGTGATATATAAAATGCTTTTGGAACAGCGTCAATTGTTTTGACACTCACCTTTATGAGCATTCAACGCCTTCAGGCAATGTCCGACCTTTCGAAAATATTTAGGCTGACTTAAAGTCCCCAACAAGCACAAAATATTGCTGTTTCAAGGAAACAGCAACATTTTCAGTTGTTTAATGTTTGGTACAAAAAAAATATTGTTTTCAACACAATATATATTATTTTGGTCTGCTACAAAACGCATAAATCATAAACCTCAACAATCCCATCTATTAGACATTTTTAAATGCTCTGCCAACTGGTCATTTTTCAGAAAATAAAACAATAAACATTCAAGTAAACTGCCACATGGGCACCATGAGTTGCACTAAAATCAGCAAGATTGTCCTCACATTCGTGCCATGTTCACTGTGGCGGAACCTTTTCAATTGTGGGCATGCCGTCAATTGATTTTTTTTTTTCTTCAAGTGGTTGATATTCTTTATATTTGTACAAAATGCATCTTTGAAAATACACGATAGGAAAGGTCCAGGGAAGTCATATACGGTGAACATTTTGGCCAGGGAATGGGAATTCAAATTGGGAAGAGATTTTACAGACACCCTCCATTTGCTTCTCTTTCATTTTTAGGATGATGGTTGAGTGCGTCTGGAAGCACAGCGGGAAAACAGGGGATGGATCCAAATCATTTATCCTTCTTGTGGCATCGTTATTACGCACCATTTACACCGCGGCCTCTAAGGATCCAAATGGATCTCAGGTCTATAACTCAAGGGAAGCAGCCGCGTCGGCCGCTGCCAGGCGCCTGGCAGACCAAATGCTGGCTTTTGCGTTGGAGAAGCTGGATGATCTGATCGCTCTCTCGGTGACTCCTTACGGACTCAACCTGTCAGCGGAGGTTTTAACTGCAAGCGCCCAATCCTCATCCAACTCGGATGGGGTTCACGTCGAAACGTTGTTAGCGTCTTTCTTTCGTACTCGTTTGGGTTGCGCCCACTGTGACTTCATGGGCGAGCTCGTATGCAAAATGCTCCGTCACTGGAGCCGTAAAAATGACGAATGTTCTCCATCAGACAAGATCGGGAGTTTTCAAAGGAGCTCGGTCGTAAACTCAAATGGCTGTAAATCCAATACATCTTCCTCGTCACTCCAGTTTCTGAACGACAATTTCCCTGCGCTGCACACGCCGCTGTCTGGCTTTCCTGTAACTTGTTCACGTTTGATTGAGGGGCAAATCATCCACAGGGACTATGCCACACACTACCACGGCAATCACCAGCATCCGGTCAAGGCGGTGGTTTTTACCATGTCCCTGCAACCCAAATGGCTAAACGCGGGTGACATGCTGGAGATTGGGAGTGGACCACACGGCAAGAGCATCATGCACTTTAGCGCCTGGGCGGAAAGCTCACTGGAGCATATTTTCGCCACCTTGAAGACTCTTGGAGTCTCCCTGCTGCTGTCTGCCGTCAAACAGTCTGAAGCCGTCCTGACTTTGGCGACGCGGGCGGAGATGTGCGTCGTGGAGTGCGTCGACGAAGACGAACTGGCGCTCTTCCTCCACTTGAGTGGGGTCACGGCCGTCTCGGACTATCGGGGGATTCGACCAGGACATATTGCTTCTTTGGCATTTTGTCGACCGATGCTTCTGGGAGCGCATCGGTGAGACTGCATTTTGTGGCAACGTAATATCGATGCTGCCGATGCGGTTTGATGGTCACCATTCCACCTTTCCTCCTCCCACAGATACGTTCACGTGGGTTATCCCGATTCCAAAGGAACGCAGCCATGCAGTGTCATCATCTGCGGCTTGGGTGAAGGGCAAACGGATCAATATGCAGGTGCCGTTCAGGATGTCATCCGTACGCTGCGTACAACATGGGAGCCCCTGGGTGCAAGTGTTATTTCGCCCGGTTGCGTCATACCCGCTGGCGGTACTTTTGAGTTTCTGTTACACCACGCCCTCCTGCAACATGGCCGCTCTCAGGCCGTTTCTAAAGACGTCGCTGTTGTTTGCCAGCTTTTGGCGGACGCGTTACTCCATCTTCCCCGACGTATTCACTCCCACAAGCCAAGGGATTTCTTACAGATTCAATCAAGAGTCTGGAACTTTTGTCGGAATCCTTTCCAGTCTGACGGATTGTTATGCGAGCTGGAGATTAGCGAAGCAAATCGCGGTGAGAAAAGTTCTCAAGTGGACACTAAATCAGGTATATATTGTTTATCAGGACTTGATTCTGTTTCCTGTAAATACCATCTCATCTTGGCTGTGCTGCAATGTGTCAAAAGCCTCCTTCGAGCGGACACTGTGCTGCACATCTCCACCAAATTGCACCCAAAATCACCAAAACCCAACAATTCCTCCGAGGATGAAGACTGAGGGTTTTTGACCTTATATGGAACTTCAAATACAGTGATTTGTTTTGTTTTTTTTCATTTTCTACTTCAGTGTGAGCTGCGGGACATTGCACTGGATCATGTTTACCACGTTGTCTGTTTCTTCAAGCAATGCATTTTGAATACAAGTGTCAAAGATCTACGGATGCAACCAATTTCATGGTTCAACCCCACAAATAAATATTTATACTGAATTGAAATATCTCATTCATAACTTATTGTTTTCATACATATGGAAAATAGAGAAGAGCCACAGGACAATATATTACAGTACAATATTATTCAGCATTTTATCTGAAAACTCGCTAATATTCAGCTTTACGTACTTCATGTCGGTGCTGTATTACAGTCAAAGTATGTAGCTGACTTGTGGTGTAAATCATGAATCAAAAAGCAGGTAGTTTGAAGAGTCTATTTACGGTGTGGTGTTTATTTATTCAAGTCGATGCTTGTTATAGATTTAGGCACTGCGTTTATTTGGGTGTTAGGACACAATTTGGGGAAATGCGGTGGGTCGCTGGAATTAAAATCATTTGGGCAAACTGAAGACAATATGATTGTGAGTTTTATTTATTTGTTAAAAGCAAACGTCAAAAGCTCGCAAGCGTCCAGACTTTTCAGCAAATTTGTCTTTTTTTTTCCACACTAAAACAAGATTGGTGCTAAACGATCTGATATGCGCAGCTTATACATAGAATTTCAAATTTTACACTTTATAATACGTCATTGAAATCTTACACTAGTTCTGTGTCATCACAGATAATCAATCAATGCTAAGCATAGTCTTCAAACGAAAGTTGCCTCTGGCCCCAAGTGTTTATTTTGGCCATTCACTACTTCTGGATTTTTTTTTTTTTCCCCCAGGACTTCTCTTTCTTATCTCATTTTTCCTTGCACTCTCCCCTGGCCACCGCAGAGCAAATAAGAGAACAACACATAACTCATAAATTTACACACATTCTTTTATGTAATCAGTGTTATCTTTAGCAGGGGCCTCAGGGCAGAGGTCTGGCTGTCAACAACCAAATCACCGTGTACTTTCCCGTTCTCTAATCACATCCACACCAGGTCTGTTACTCTTAGCGAGTTTATATAAAGCGGAGTCATGAGTTTTTGAAATTGAGTGGAAGATAAGCGCAAAATAAGCTTTCTTTGCCGTCTCCTGCTTCAAATGTTGCACAACACAAAAGAAGAAATCAACTGAGTCACAACTCGTATGGAAAAGTCGGTGTTGCCTTCAGCCAAGGTACGGCTTTATTATGGAAAATTGACTCTTTCTTTTCTTGTCTCACGAAAGGGTTGTACCGCGGAGCGAGCGACCGTGACTCGCACGGCTCTCGTCGCTCATCAGCGAGCCAGATTGTGACGTCACTTTCATGTGACATGTTGTTACGTCACTTTCATGTGACTGAGCCGTCCCCTCAGGCTGATTTCATTGCGGCTAAAAAAAAAAAAAAAGCCACTAAGGATTGTGAAAAGTCAGTCTCGGGATAAAACGTGTGTGCTGACAGTTACCATATAAGATTAAAAAAAAGTCCAGACTCAACTCCATTTTTGTTTATTTGACTCTTGAATCATCCGTTTGTACGATATGAATCAACCAATTTCAATAAGATGAAAAAGTATCTTGAAAATACATAACATGTTCTGATAGAAAGAGGACTGAAAAGACAAAACATGACCAAAATAGGCAGTTGTAGAAAGAGGTGAGCCAACAAAATGTCACAAAGGATAACACTCGATTCTAAATATGAAAAAAAAAAGTTGACAGCTGAGAATCCTGTTGGTTTCAAAGCAATTCACCCATTCCTTTGGCAGATGATGCATTCTGCCTAAGTGGCATTGGGACTTATTCGGCCGCGGTCCAGAACTCGTTCTTGCCAGTCGGTGAGAGGCCTCAATAGAGAAGTGATCGATAAACAACGAGCTGATCTTCTTTCAGATCGTTTGCACAAACACTAAATTCAATCACGTGATCTCACTGTGGGACATTTCTCACTCAAACACAGATGGCACCCATTTTATAGCTGGGCCTGACAACCACAAAGACGTAGGATGTGCCCCAACCCCCAATTGAACGAGCAATGTTTGTACTGGCAGTGGGGGGTGGGGGGAGTGATCTGGGAATGACATCATGCAACATTAACGAGGACTCCATAACGCGCTGGCGGGTGTCACACCACCTCCCGAGATTTCCTGATGGCGCAGCACAGGAGCATGCTAAAGATCATCCCAAACACCTGCCAAGAGAGATAAACTGAGTTTTCGACATTCTCTTTTCGTGGCATGACCGGGACAATCGCACATTACCATAATGACCCCGATAGTGATGCCCACTCCTCCTATGATGTGCAGCTTGGAGTCAAACACTTCTTCGATGGCATCGGGGCAGCTCTGCAACACAGGAAAATGAGCACAGAGATTCATTTGGGCTTTTTTTTCCCCCCCAGACCTTGAGCGAAAGGACTTGGCGTACAAGCATTCTAGTAAAATCATTGTTGCCATAGAAACCACAGCAAAAAGGCTAAAGGAATGCGTCTGCGACGGAAAGCTGTCGGCCCACACCATCATTATGTGTTTTTGACATGTCATTACGCCATTGCTCGCTTTGATAAATGAAGCCTGGCGTGAGCAAACTCACTCGGTTCTTCAGTCTGGCCCACTAAGCATTTTTAGGATCGTGGCTTAATAATTGCATTCATTTTTATTTTTATTTATTTATTTTTTTACCTAAAATTAGATCAGAGTAATTTCGAATACATTTTTATTTATCTCAGTGATGAGATTGGTCAATGTTTTTTTTAATCACAGGTGGAAGATGAATTTTTACACTGATTCAGAATCTGCCCTTGTTTTTTTTTCTCAAGCACATCAGGTTTTCATAATAATAATATTTAATATCGTAATGTACATGAATTAGGGGTTAGACTCAGCAACTGTTGATTTTTTTTTTCTGAAACATGATACGTAGCTATAATTAACAACTTTAATATCGTAATGTACATGAATTAGGGGTTAGACACAGCAACTGTTGATTTTTTTTTCTGAAACATGATACGTAGCTTTAATTAACAATGCATGGTTAAATTCATACTGCGCAAGCTTTTATAGGTCAAACCTTGACAAATTGTGACAAATGTCCATATTTGAACACGTTTTGAACTCGTCGACAAATGTGCCGGCTCATCACTCAAAAGCAAACTTCTCATTTTGCGTCTCTTGACGAAAGCGCGCTGTCGCGATCGTACCTTGATGATGAGCTTCTCAAGTAGGTCTCCTTGAGGACACGTGTCTTTGGCACCATCAAAGACAGCGGCAGTTGGACCGCAACAATTCAGCTGGAACAATACAAAACAAATCAACTCACGACACTTGTCGGTTTTTTGTTTCTCTTTGCCTCTTGTTGCCAGGCAACGACGTTATTTTTGACTGCATGCAAACAAATGATGCCTGTTCATAATGGGATTGATAGCATTAAGCGTTTGCAAACATTTTCATTGAATAGACAACAAAGACCAGATATGAAATGTTCAAACTGAAAAACTGTATTGTTTCAAGCAAATAATCATTAACTTAAGAATTTTACGGCTGGAATACATTTTCAAAAAAAAAAAAAAACGTTGGGACAGGTGGCAGAAAAGCCTGAGAAAGTTGAGGAATGCTCATCACACACCTCTTCGGAACATCCCACAAGTTGACTGGGAACGGGTGAGTGCCGTAATTGAGTGTAAAAGATGCAGCGAGGTTCACCTCTATGTGAATAACCATGTGAGAAAATTGTCAAACAGTTCAGAAAAACGCTGTTCGTAAATACAGTTCGCCGCTTACATCCCTAACTGCAACTCTGCCACGCAAAGCAAAAGACTTTTATCAACAACATCCGTAAACGTCGCCATTGTTCTCCCCGCCCAACCTCATCTGAGATGGACCGATGCAAAGTGGAATCGTGTTCTGTGGTCTGACGAGTCCACATTTCAACTTGTTTTGGGAAGTTGTGGACATTGTGTCCTCCAGGCAAAAGAGGAAAATAACCATCTGGAAAGTTACAGAAGCAACGTTCAGAAGCCGTGATGATATGCGACTGTGTTAGTGCCAATGGCATGGGTAACGGACACATCTGTGAAGCCAACATTAATGCTCCAGGAGAAACATATGCGGCCATCCAAATGCTTGGATGGCCGCATATGGACACCCCCGCTTATTTCGTCAAGAAAATGCCGAACCACATTCTGAACATGTTAACAGCGTGGCTTTGGAGTAAAAGAGTGCGGGTACTTGACTGGCCTGCCTGCAGTCCAGACCTGTCTCCCATTGAAAATGTGTAGCGCATTATGAAGCCTAAAATATGACAAAAGAGACGACGGAGTGTGGGACACCTGAAACTGTACATCAAGCGAGAATGTGAAATAATTCCTCCGAGACAGCTTCAACTATTGGTGCCCTCCGTTCTCAAACATTTATTGAAAAGAAAAGGTGACGTAACACAGTGGTAAACATGACGTTGCACTCATCACATTTTAAGTTAATGATTGTTTTCTAAAAGCAATTAAGTTTACCGGTTTGAACATTACACATCTTTGTGTATTCAGTTATAAATAATTTGGAGATGATTTGAAAATCATTGTACTGCATTCTGTTGGGTTTGTATTTACGGCCGACTGAAACTAGATTACCCCCTGCTTTCAAGCTTCACGCTATGCCTGTCTGATTAGCTCCCAAACCATCATTTCAGCCTCTTTCACGCAGAGACACCCCAGAAATTCACGACACGGCGGAATTCCCTTGCACACAGATGTCGCCCTGCCTTTGTTTTCTGGTTTTATTACATCCTCCAAAGATGTAAATTTACCTCCTTGACTTCATCTCCCCCGCCCGACTCTTGTCGGTCTGTTATATATTGCTTTGGTGTAAAGGGCCGTTTGAAAATGAATGCGGGAGAGACATCCAACATTTCATGACAGAATGCAAATTTAGTTTAGGGAGCACAATCTGTCACCAACAGACTTGGATTTGTTTAGTGATATGTTTGGGCCACGTTCACAGGCCTGTGCACCAACTGGAACTGAGCTCAAATTATACATCCAATTAAATATTTTCGGAACTTTAAATTTGAATCTTGCCCAATTGTGACATACCTACGTCTAATTGACAAATTATTGCCCCTAAACTGAGTTTTTGCTGGGCCAAGAGCCGACGTTGCTATATGTTAGCATTGACACCCAACTCCCCAGCACGCGGGCTGAACAGCGGCTCATTTGAGACAGCACTCTGTCCTCAAACTAACTTCAGCTGTAATTCTTGATTGACGAGCACCACAAGATCATCAAGGATAATGATAGCAATGGAAAAAAAAAAAGCTCACGCCAGTTTGAATCACACGCAGAGTCTCTCGGAGACGCTCATCCTTTGTCTCCTTGTAGTTGTTGTAAGTCTGGTGGTAGAATGTGGTAATGTCATCCACCACCTGTCACGCAAGCAGAGAAAAAGATTTGCTTTTTGCCTTCTGCCAGAACTTGTTTGTTGTGTCTATCGCGACGATCGCACTTAAGGCGAGTGCGCTACCTTGCTCTGGTTGGAAAATCCCCAGATGCCAGCAGCCACTTCAATGGCAAAGATGATCAGCAGGAAGAAGAAAAACTATGGCAAGGATAAAGGGAGTTAGAATGCCGTGCGCGCATGTCTTTTGGCACGCGCAAACAAGTCAAGTCATCTGAGCGAGTGCGCGCATGTCTTTTGGCACGCGCAAACAAGTCATCTGAGCGTGATTGAACTTGATTTACATAGACCCCTCCAACTGGGAGATTTAGTACAAGACGATTAGGGCCAGAGGGGAGGCGATGACTAAGCCACACAGGAAGTGAACAACGGTAACATTTAAGCCTGCTGGATGGCCTTGGGCCCCTTTAGTAAACGCTGATGAAAACGGGTATTTCCAAGGTACCGGTCACACAATTGGAAAGATACGGTTGATGTTTTGCATAACTGAATAAAATGACGAAGCCGCATGAACAAGACATTTGGTATTCCCGTTTGCTCTCCCACCTGACCTTCATTAGCGTTTGAGATCCTTTTGGATCAGGTGTTCTCCGACTTGTGTGGCCGTTGCGTTACTCACAAATTTACGTAGTGGAAGAGCATTTCATTATTATGTGCATAGTGGAACAAAGATGCATTATTAATTGTTAATAAGTAATCATTTCCAGACTAATGACGTGAACTTGTGCACTAATGTGCTGATACAGACCAGTCCCAGCATGCAGGGAGACTCCTGGATGGCACCGCAACATCCAAGAAATCCTACGACCATCATTAGCGCTCCAGCTCCGATCAGGATGTACACACCTATACACACACACACCAACAAAGAAAAAAACATACTAAAACTGCCTTTGGACTCAAATCAGCCCAATGTATGCTGGTACACATTTACATGATCTAGTTTCTTTATTTTTTTTGAAGGTCAGGAAACACGTATCATGTACATGTTTACATGCTTCTGAGTCTGAAGCTAAACCAAGTAAACCTTCTGCCTATTTCTGAAAATATGTCTTTACGCAACCCTCCTGAACTTTACACTTTAATGACCACACGGAGTTTCTCTGTTAATGATTTGGCAGCTAGGCTCTGGACAACACTGAAGCAATATAAGTTCAAAACCAAAAGCAAAACAAACCTGCAGTATTAGCACGGGGTGACCGTTAGCTAACAGCGTTGCACGCGTCGGACGCATGCACAAATGTTAAGTTAAGTTAGTTGTTGACTTAGAGGTGAGAGGTATTTGTTTCCAGCTACAGCTCCAGTTATTGACGAGCGTAATTTAGTGGCTTTGTGATAAAGTGTTTCTGTAAAGTGAAAGATAAAGTGTTCATGCCATGAGAGCTACCAAGACTCCCTTTGCGAGGTACTCACAGCTCACGATCAACTTAATGGGCAGCCCTGATTTAAAGATTCCGACATCACTTGTAGTGGATGTGAGTGAGGCAAATAAAGTACCGACTCTTGATTTAGTGCAATACACTCAAAGCGAACTGAATAGTAATTCTTGTTTGAAACAGAGCACTTGTGCTGAAAAGCCTCTTACCGGTGTAAAACACATATGGAGAGTCCTGTCCTTCAAACAAGCCTTTGGTCTTGGGGTCTAATCGCAACCACAGGCCGATGGCAAAGACAGCAGTGCCTGCGAGCTGAAGCAAAAACATTTGAGATTTCAGCTCATTTGGCATCATCGTAGGCATGGGACACTTCATTTGATACACATGCTTTATCTAATTCAGTGCTTCCCTAAGTATTGACCTTAGGCACATATTTTACATTGGGAAATCTCATGGCACACAACGCCCAAAACCGTCACAAAAAGTATAGACATATCCCCCCCCCCTCAATTTACTGCATATTGAGACGCCAACAGCAAAAAAAAAACCTTAAAGAGCTTTATAATTGCCAAGAGATGCGACAAGATGACAGCTACTTTTCTGGAAATGGAACTCCTCAAGTCTCATCAACATAGTTCTTGGCACACAAGGTGCTCTACTTGAGTCTAAATTAAACAACTTACTTCAACATATTGCCTTGGCATGAAGACAATTCCAAAGTAATGCCTTGATAGCTATGACTGAGCACAGACACAGCAAATGGGGGTTTTCAGCGATTCAGTGATTAACGGAGGACAGTCCCCCCCCCCAAAAAAATGTCCATTGGTGAATTTGTGATTGCCAATCTGGGAATATGCTGGAAAAAAATGCTTTTCAATTTACTCATAAATTTACCAATATTGCGAAATCTGGATGTTTTGTGGAACTGAGTCAAAGCTATTTAATGATACCTTCTGCCATTTAATGGAAGATTATTTACGTGTTCTACCTGTCACTGAAACCGTATATGCTGGCCTCTGTAAAGATACCGTGCTTTATTTGCAAGTTGTGAACAAATCCAACTTTTTGAAGAAATGAAGTGCAATTTGACAGTTTGCCGCAGCACACCTGACGATCGTGGTTGGGAATCGCATCAGAAAATGTGTTGTGTTACACCACTGCAAACTACAACTTCAAAAATAAACATACCTCCATGACGGACAGTGTCATTCAAAACAAAGCATTGTTGTTTTTTGATGAGGCATTTAATCAACTTCTTGTATTGGCGTTTAGTTGTGTTGGCATACCTAATATAACAGATGTGTGTGTGTGCGGTTTCGCCGCAATTCCTCCTGTGGATAGTCATCTATGTACGAAGCCATTTTGTTTTGAGCTCACATGCTTGAACATGACTGTCGAACATAACATTCACTGACAGTGAGTACATGCCATAAATGGAATCACGCTGATCTGTCCCGTATGCTTCTTCTTCATTTTGACACACAAAGATGGGAACGTTGAAGAACCCACGCCCCCTCTTTATGTCTAACTCCCGCTTAAACTCATCCAGAGTCACAGACAACAGGAAAAAAATGAAGTACACCTACCCAGAAGAACAAGTTGAATATAAACATGAGATACTTGATGCACTTGATCCCCCCAACGACAGCCATGCTGACGGGTTAGTTGACAAAGTTGATATTCCTGGGAGGAAGCAGTGTTAGCGTGGACCGAAAAAAACTAAAGCGAGGCGTTTGAAAGTGAAAGCGTTCTGAAAACGCCACGCCTTTAGATGCCTGAATGCACACTTGGGGAGTGGCGAGAACATCAGGGCCTACTCAACAAACTGGCCTCCCAATCTAAAGCCTGCCCATATTCCTTCCTCTGTTTGTTTCCACGCTTGCATAGATTGCGCCTGTGACGACTCCTGTGTGAGAAGCTGCAGGCAGGCAGCCAGGATAGCAACAGATAGCAACATAGAGGGCCCTGTTATAACATGCAGACCTTCAATGTCTTATTTACTCACCTGCTGTCTCAACCACGCGCTCCACCTCGGTAATCAAATAATCAAGCAGGTGAATAGACGCCTTAAGTGGGCTACATACTCACTTTTAACGTCTGAACCATTTTTTTTTTCGGGTGAGAAACCCCACCTGAGGAAAAACAATAGCCGGTGTATTCTTACTGCTCTTCAAGCAGTGGTGTCCAAAACTTTTCTTCCGAGGGTCGCATATAAAAAAATCAAAGTATGGGCCACTTTGATGTTCTGTGACTCCCGTTGATGAAACACACTAAAATCAATCCATTGAAAATTGTATGTTCTTTATATGTTATTATTTTTAAAAACGATGACCGTATTGCAAGGCAAATACTTAAGAATTTTCCTGCATTTTGGGATGGCTGCAAGCTATAATCATTCAAACTCATCAAAAAAAAAAATGAAATATATCACTCCATATATAATGTTCCATCCACTGGAAAATGTATAATACATAGATAGATGAGAGGACGATAGATATTGATATTTATGACTCAAGCTGAGAGTATAAAATGAGTTTCATTTTTAGAATTGAACAGCTGAAATCAAGTGTTTTCGACCACATTCCATAATGAGATGCAGCTGAATATTTTTAGCAACGTTTATTTCCACAGTGGATTACTTCCGCCTTCACACACACAAACCATGCCCTACCCCCTTGTGATGCCTTGTTGTGGGCCTTTCTATCAATAGCTGCAAATCTGAAAATCACCATAAAAGGCCAAAACATTTTTGTGGCCCCCCCCCCCCCACACACACACACACACACACACACACACGCACACACTCACACACACAGTTTAACATATACAGTTCAAAATAAACAAACACCCCCACATGGGACACACCCCGCAGGCTTACTGGGACAGTGAGACATAAATAGCGTGCATGAGAGCCTAAGTAGTCACTCACACACACACACACACACACACACAGACACTCACTCTCTCTCTCTCTCTCTCTCTCTCTCTCTCTCTCTCTCTCTCTCTCTCTGTCATGCGCACTACCCCTCGCCACGTGACCGTGCACAACAATTTCTTATCAATAAATGACAGGCTGATTCAATTATTAAATCCCGCTCCCCGCCTCTAAAATCAGTTTTGAATGCAGTACGTGCAAACCGTCGGGATGCTCCGTGGAAATGGGTCACTTGGCCACTGGGGAGGATTACAACCAACAATGCAGCCCCGCTGGGCTTCCACACGCGCCGGGACTATCATGGCAATCCGGTGAAAATCTTGAAATAATAATAAGAATAATAATAACAATAACAACCTCAACCCACTTGGGACACCCTGCGACAATACGAGGGTTTGCACCGGGATATTTCCACTCGCGACCCACGCCACAAAGTCCTCAATACGCACCACCACATAGATTCTAGTTTTTCAACACACTCACCCAGAAGACCAGGTTGAAGGCGAACATCAGATATTTGATGCACATCTCTCCGCCGGATAGCGCCGCCATGACGACGACGACGACGACGACGACAAACCTCGTGAATGCAGGAGACGATTCGAAGCAGTGTGGTCGTCCAGTGAAGCGCTTCTCCACGCGTGGCGCTGCTGGTGCGCGCTCGTCTTGTTCGGTCCCCCAGCCAAGCGTAAAAGGCAGGATATGTGCACAGTACCGCACTAAATCCTCACAGTTAGTGTTTTTTTAGGTGGTTGTCAATGCATTCCGTCGCCCTTCAAAGAGTCCGGTGCGATGACGTTATTGTCAGACTCGTTCCTGATTTAAATCGGTAGTCCGGCGTGATTACGTCATTCTCCTGACGTAAATAAATCGCGTGCACGGGTCGCTGACTAGGAGAGCTATACAGCACGTGAACCGGGGGGGGGTTGTTGTGCTTGAGCACGCTTCCCTTGATGCCAAAGGTGCACTTTTAATTTAATGGCCACAATATGACACATAGTAATAATAGTTAAGCCACAGAATAGTGACAAAAGACAAATTTGTTGGTCAAATTCTCTTTCTAGGCAAACGGCATGCACCTTTGCTTGAAACTGCACTGACTGGTGTCCTGACAGTGTCCATCCATTCATCTTCTCATCCGCATACCCTGACAGGGGTCGCGGGCATGCCCGAGCCTCCACCCTGAAATGGTTGCCAGCCAATCGCAGGGCACACAGAGACGAACAACCATTCGCGCTCACAATCACACTTAGGGACAATTTAGAGTGTTCAATCAGTCTGTCATGCATGTTTGTGGAATGTGGGAGGAAACCGAAGTACCCGGAGAAAACCCACGCAGGCACAAGGAGAACATGCAAACTCCACACAGGAACGTCGGAGCCGGTGATTGAACCCTTCACCTCTGCACTGTGAGGCAGACGTGCTAAGCAGTCAAACACCATGACATTTAGTACTCCATTCTCATCAATTACCCACAATGCACTGTAAGGTGTTGAGAATGTAGTTTATTCCCAGCCTGAAAGAAAATTAAATCTCACTCAAAAGTCCATATCCCTGTCCACTGACTTTAGATCCGGCCTCTACCGAATCATTTAGGAGCTCTTAATTTGGTTACCCAGTTGTTCAGGAGGGAGCTAAAAGTTTTTACTGTAGAGCCACAAGCTAGCATTTTGTGGACAGTTTATATTTAGATTGTTTCTACAACAATCACAACAATATTTTCTGTTCGTGCATTTCAATCAATCCAAAAATGCTGCGGAATGTTTGGGTGACCAGGAAATGTTTTTGTCTTCTCACCGCGCTCCTGATTCTTTCCCCAGCTGATAGGTGATATTTTTTTTTCCTCCAGGATTTCCAAAGAACTAGTTCCCATTGTTTTCACGCAAGTTTTGGCATCAATTTGTCACATGTTTGTCATGTGTGGCTACCAAACTCTCAGTTCTCGCATGAGATATCTTCCCCCGACAGTGTGTTTTGTAGCACAATTGTTTGGGTTGGCACTGACGCAGGTTTGTACCAGCAGGCTAATCACTCAGCCAGACCATCAGTGGGCACATCCTGGTATTGTCTCACTGGGGCGGTCTGATGGTGTCGCTCTACATGTACCGAGTGATATTCTGGCCTTCTTGACATAACCTGATGTAGGGGGGAGGGATGTTAAGGCCACGATAACAGAGTGGGAAGGGCTTTCCTTGATATAAATGAACTTTTGAGTGAGGCATTTTTTAAGTTTTTGACCCCATTCTCAGTTGAGCCTGTTACGTGACAGAGCGAAACACCAATCCGCCATGTAAAGCCTGGAATTGCAGTATTTTGGGCGATTGGAAGAGATTTTTTACTTTTTTTTCTTGCGAGATTTGTGGATTAGCCAAGTGTGGAACCATGGAGGTACAGTATTCAAGTTTTAAGAAGTCAATTTAAGAGGATCACGGGATGAAGCATGTCGTTGTATTTGTGTTTCAGTTGTGCGCGGGTCGGTGTTTGAGAGGAATTTGGCTTCTGCTACAACTGACAGGTGGGTGAAAAACAAACCCATTGTTAATTCACCCTGACTCTTAATTGTCCATTAGTGCGAATGTGCATGTCAATGTTTGTTTGTCTATTTGTGTCCTGCAAATGACTGGCGACCGGTCCAGGGTTTACCTCCATTGCATGTCACGAGTCGGCTGCGGTGGCCTTCATCTCAGCTGCAACCACAAGGCTACAAAAGATGAATAGAATTTTTCAGTAGATCATAGTTAACTTGTTTTTAAAAAAAATTAAATTAGTTTTTAATTTAATTTGGAAATGCCTAATTATAATGTCAATTAAAAAAAAGAACATTGTATTGGTTTTTTTTTTTAATTAACTTTTTTTTTCCCAGCGATGTGGATAAATTAACAAATTAACCTCTTTTTTTCCGGGTCAAACCGACCCACTGAATCCAGACAAATAATAAGGATTTCCGTTGAATCAGTGTTAGTCTGATATTTAATTTAATTCCATATTTGTACTGTATTTCAAAATATTTTGAACAAAACAGCCCAGAAAGTTGGGTCTATTGACTCAATTAGCAGGTCAGTCCATTTTTTTGATCCAATTGGTAAATTTTCCGCCACGTTGAGGCCTCCCCAAGGGCCCAATCAAGTATGAGGCCAAGCACTTCATACAAAGATATTTTCTCATTGTTAAACTCTAAAATGTCATTTTGAAATAATAACAAGAGTTTTTGGTAAAATTTGTGCTGTTGTGAATGCGTGTGGGTGTGCAGCATGCACGGCAGGTATGACGGGGAGATGCAGCCTCTTCGGACGACACCACGTTCACACCTTTGATGGGGTTTTGTACGACTTTCCCGGCGATTGCAGCTACCTGCTGGCTGGGGACTGCAGACGTCGCTCCTTCACGCTGTTGGGTGGGTGAGCCTGTCAAAAAAAAACTATGTTGAGCATATATGGACAAAATATGCACAGACAGATCATTCCGTCCGTTCGTCACTGATTAAAAAACAAAGTGCGCTGTGATTCACCTGCAGGTGATTTTGTTGGGGGCAAAAGAACTGGAGTCACGCTATTTCTTGGGGACGTCTTTGAGCTGCATCTGTCTGTTGATGGAAGATTATCACAGGGAGAAACCAGGTAATACGGTCTTTTACTCGCATGGAATGGTTGGCCGCAAAAAAAAAAAAAAAAAAAATCCTTATAGATTTGGATTAAGACTAAAGGCTCTGTTTAAATCATCGACGTAAGTCCTTCGCTGCGCAATGTGTGGCATTTCTCTGCGCAGAGGTAGGTTTGACCGGTTTGATGGTCATTTCGCAGGCGAGTTCAGGTCGTCGGATCTGCAAGTCAAGTCAGATCAAATTTATTGATATTGCCCTGAATCACAGAAAATTCTTAAAGGGCTTTACATGCCCATAGTTTACAAAAATTAATGACATCCCCTCACGTTAACCCCCAGGACGGCAAGGAAAACTCAAAAAAGAGGGAAGGAGGGCTGCGCCACTGTGGGAGTGCTCACAGCCGACTTTAGTGACGGCCAATCAAAGCGATTCCTCTCATTTCCTTTAAATGTGGCATGCTAGTCATTAGGAGCGTGCATCTCCACAAAAAAGTGATTTGATCCGGTTTTCCATGCATGGGGTGTGAAACAATTCAAGGACAGTTCAATCCCAAGCCAATCCCATCCTTGATTCATTAATTGATTAACGATTTTGGTTACTTGAATGCCATGAGAAACCTGCAACCAAGGAAGCTCACTTACAGACTGTTTGTGTGTCACCTTGCAGACTTTCACTGCCGTACGCATCACACGCTGTGTTTGCCGGCCAGGAGCTGGGCTTCTACAAGCTATGGAGCGAGGAGTTTGGTTTCACGGTGACCATCGACAACGCAGCCAACATCGCCCTGACACTCACCAAACACCACACCAACCACACCTGTGGCCTCTGTGGTAACTTCAATGCAGCAGTGGCCGATGAGTACACCGCTCAAGAAGGTACATCTATGCTCGCTTGGAGTGGAAGGCCACTCATGCACGTACCTTTTTTTTTTCCATGGAATTTCGGAAATGGTTCTGAGTCACCGGGGATCAGAAACAGGAAGACAAGTTATTCCATACAGGAAAAGATAACGGGTTAAAGAAAAAAAAATCTCAACAAAAAGAGCAGCGGCAGCTTGAGATTAATGAGGAAGCTGTCAACGTTTTTTTCCGTGCTGTGCGTCATTTCAGGATTCCTCACAGAGGACAGCTATGACTTTGCAAATTCATGGGCGGTGAAAGGGGCAGGTCAAGCCTGCAGACGCGTCTCTCTTCCCAGTCTGTCTTGCAACAGCTCCAAAGACACTTCAGAGGTCAGTCACACACACACACACACACACACACACACACACACACACACACACACACACACACACACACACACACACATTGGAAGGGCAAAAGAGTGATTAGAAACATCTGAACATCCTTGACTGAGGATGAAGAATGACTCACTGACAAAAAAAAAAAAAAAAGCACAACCTCTCACTGTCATGAAAAATATGACCACTGAGGTGAGCTACAAAGTGGGAAGCAATCCATCATCAAGAATTTTTGGGTGTGGCCATCATGAGCGTTGCAATGAGGTGAGCAGCAACTTGTTCTCAGGCGGCCCAAAGTCTGAAGAGAGAAGCATGCCCCTGTAAAGACAGTAAACTTACACTTGGCAATCAGTGGCACAGATTTTCACACATTGCCAAAGAAAAGTAACACAAATGGAGAGCTTTTTTTTTTTTTTTTTTTTTTGTCAACAACCAATTTAAAAGATACTCATAAGGAATAAGTACTGATAATATATCTTCTTTCCGTAGATTCTGTCTAGCTGCAGCGTGCTGCAAACATCTGCCGTGTTCCTGCACTGCGCCCACTTGGTACCAGCCGAGGCCTTCCTGTCCCTGTGCCAGGAGGAGGCGTGCCACTGCGGCCAGGGCGACAGCGAAGACTGTTACTGTCCAGTCCTTCTGGAGTACGCCCGCACGTGTCATGCCCACGGGATGCTTTTACGCGGGTGGCAGCAGGAGAGTGAATGCTGTAAGTCGGCAAAACAGTGACAGTTCCAGGGAATAGGGAACAGGGTGGCCTGTAAATTGTGAAAATCCGTACTAATTGGCCCCCATTGAAATGCATTGGGGTGGGGGGCTATTTTATGCATTATGTAGTTTTTTTGTAATTAATCGGCTGATTAATCAGTAATCTGTATTTTATTTTGACCAAAAATCGGCATCAGCATTAAAAAAAAAAAATCTATATTGGTTGGGCCCTAACTCATATTGACAAGAAGGTAAAAAAAAAATCATTTCACATGTCGTATGTTAATAACAAAAAGTGTGCGCTTGAATTTTATGCAATCAAAAAATGTGTTGGATTTACTGATGTTGTGAACCTAGTGAAAAAACAAAACAAAACTAATGATAACACCTAAAAAAATATATCTTACTTATATGTCGGTTTGATTGTTTTTTTCCCCCCCAGATGACATTGATAATCATTTGAATGACAAAAGCTAGTGGTTTTTAGGCCGGCACAAGACAACAAAATTGCCACAATTTAATTAATCGGCTGATTAATCAGTAATCTGTATTTTATTTTGACCAAAAATCGGCATCAGCATAAAAAAAAAAAAAAAAATCTATATTGGTTGGGCCCTAACTCATATTGACAAGAAGGTAAAAAAAAATAATTTCACATGTCATATGTTAATAACAAACTAGTGTGCGCTTGAATTTTATGCAATCAAAAAAATGTGTTGGATTTACTGATGTTGTGAACCTAGTGAAAAAACAAAACTAAACTAATGATAACACCTAAAAAAATATACCTTACTTATACGTCGGTTTGATTGTTTTTTTTTCCCCCCAGATTACATTGATAATCATTTGAACGACAAAAGCTAGTGGTTTTTAGGCCGGCACAAGACAACAAAATTGCCACAATTCATTCTTGAGGTGACAGGGTCACATTCCTTCTTAGTGCTGCAGTCAGAGTGCTTTTTTTTTTTTTTTTTAACTTGTAAGACTTCAATCATTAAGATTGCGTTTTTTTTCCATCTTTTTTATTTTGTGTCTGTTTTCAAATGTGCACGGTCAAAAGATAAAGTACAGATACCGGAAAAATCGACCTAAGAACAAAATGTTTGTACTTTTTTACTTCCCACCACTGAAAACAATTGTGTATGTGCGTCTGTGTGAGAACAGTCCCCAAATGTCCCATTGGAATGCACTACAGCGAATGCACCAAGTCCTGCTCCACAACCTGCCATAGTCTCAACATTCAGGAAGTCTGCAAAGAAGACTGCGTGGATGGTTGCACATGCCCTGGTAAATCCCCCGGCGACTGGTTTCCACCCCTTCGGCTTCTAGTCTTAGCGTGTTTGAATCTGTGTGTGCTTTTCAGTGGGTAAAGTGCTGGATGGAAACCGTTGCGTGGAGGTGTCTCAGTGTTCCTGTGTACACATGGGACGACACTTCCCGCCGGGTTCGACAATCTCTCAGGACTGCAACACCTGGTGAGTGGAGGCACACATCTGCAGAATGTGTGATTTAATAGCCACATATTGTATTTCCCCCCCCACAGTGTGTGTCGACACGGGTCATGGGAATGCACCAATGAAGGTTGCCCCGGTGAGCGACATGAATCATAGTTCAATTAGGGTGAATGTACACTGCATGATTCGAGTGATGCGATTCTATTTTTTTTTTGCTCTCAAGTGGCAATATATGCATCAATTTAACCCTTTCATGCACCCTGTTACCTGATAACATGCTAAGCTGTGCACTGTAGTAACCGCTGTCCCTGAAAGGGTTGAATTGTATTAAGAAACAATCCATTTATTATATGGATAGCATTGCACTGAGAGAATATTTTGCTCTCCGCTTGTTAATAAATGTGGTAACCAAATCAGACAAAATGTCGATCTCTATGATGTACTTCTTACTTTTGTGGGTCCCCTTTACGCCTAACAATTGGCTTGGCTACTGCGCCTTCATCCGGTGTGTAGGTGAATGCCTGGTGGTGGGTCAGTCCCACTTCAAGACCTTTGACAACAAATTCTTCACCTTCAGCGGCCCGTGTCAGTACCTGCTGGCCACAGACTGTGACGAGCAGGACTTCTCTGTCATTATTGAAAATGTGCAGGTAATGCGCGCACACCACACACACACACGCATACGCATACGCACACACACACACACGAACACACACACACACACACACACACACACACACACACACACACACACACACACATATGTTTGCAAATCTTAGAAACGTAATGTATTTTAATACCTTGTAACCACAAGAAACCTGTCTTGCCCTTTTTTGGACATGATAGCAAGTAAAAAGCATTAACACTTGCAATTTTTTATTATTCACAATGGGACCCCTGATAAGAGTGGGGGTTCACCGTATGTATTCAAAAATGGTCTTCAAGATGTCTCACCCTTGTGGTAAATCCTCCAAAAGATCCCGACATAGCTTTCCAAACACGATGGCTAAGATAGACAGTATCACATTACGTAAGAACTCGCAAAACATTTTTGGCAGCATAATAACTCAGCATTTTCTTGCTGTCACTCTTTGCGTGCATGTCTGACAGCTGATTATTGACCTTTCTTTCAGTGCGCAGATGATCAAGAGGCTGTGTGTACACGTTCTGTGACCCTCAGTCTGCCTTCTCTGGAAGACATGACAGTGAAGCTGAAGCACGGAGGAATGGTTTCTGTCAACGGCATGGACATCCAGACCCCAATGCACCATGGTACGACATTTTGATGGGGAGCAGCTGCCTTTTGTCACTCAAACACTGTGACATGCAAGAGTGTACTTGGTGGGGTAAAAGAACTCAGAGAGCACAGACCTCTGCCAAGGCTTTAAGTACTCAAATCAGTGCAATGACTGTGACAATGGTTGCATTCTTAAGCAGCGTACACACATACCCATTTTTAAAATCTTAACTGAATGTTTTTAAATCCACACGATGAAGATGCTTTTTCCTACTGCTCTCATAGTGTGTGGTGTAGTCCGGATGACCAACACACCACACCACACCACACCACACACATAATGATTCTGTAGTACCAAGAAGAAGAAACACAAGGAGCTAGCTAGACGACCAGTTAGCATGAATGATGGTGAACTTTTTGCCTTGTGGTTTTTATTGTGGCAAATGACTTGTGAGACACGTTATACAAACACTCAAAACAACTAATTGCTCCTCTATTGCACGTGGCCTCATCAGGGCCGTGGGTGAGCTCGAGCCCATACCAGCTCACTGTGGGGGAGAGGTGAGGTAAACGCTGTAATCATGGCCAAATCCTTACATTCATTATAAAAATGTCACATGGCTTTGTAATTAAAGTAAATGGACATGCTTTAAACATTGATGCTTCTGGATTCCAGGTCGCTTGCATATCCAGAGATCTGTGCAATCATCTGTGCTCCTGAAGTATGGCGATAACCTGCGTCTTGACTGGGATGGGAGGGGCCGGGTGCTATTAAAGGTGCATACAAACGGAATGTTTTAGTTAATTTGTGTCAAGAAGCTTGGCAGTTTTGAAATGTTACCCACCACGTTTTTGTAGCTTGGCCCACGCTGGGCAGGGCGGACTTGCGGCCTGTGTGGCAACTACAACGGGAACCAAGGCGATGACTTCTTGTCCGCATCTGGGCTGGTTGAGGCGGGCCCGCTGGCATTTGGTCAATCCTGGAGAATCAACGATGACTGCAAGTCCGCCCACACAGTTACGACAGATCCCTGTGCCATCAACCCCAAAAGAGGTGGAAACACACACACAAACACACACACATGTGACTCGTCAACCCGACAGTGAACCCTCACTACATGTATTTTCAGGCTTTAGGGACCAAGCCCTGCCACACATTGTAGTAAACCCTAAATGGACACACGGTGAAGATTCGCCATACTTACATATACATACGCAACAACCCAGGCAAAATTAATCTTCTCACCAACATACAAAAATCGTAATGTATCGCTTCGGCATACATGCTTGACCCTGAGAACGACGTTTCGATTCGCCAGGGCTTTGGCGTCCTCTTGTGGAATTTTCACACATTACAGAAAGAGTTTAAAAATAACCCTAACCCCAAACCCGCAGCTCGGCACATTTGTAGTAAATATTCCCGACAGATGTCACAGAAATAAACGTGATGACTCGTGGTTCACCGTAACCCTAAACTACAATCACCCCTTTTCTTTTTCTTCAGTTCGTTTTGCAGAAGAAGGCTGCTCAATGATGACGTCAGACGTGTTCGGCCCGTGCCACTTCCTGGTCAATCCGGCTCCTTTCCAGCAGTTTTGTCGTTATGACGTTTGTTCGTGTGTGGACGGCGAGAAGTGCCTCTGCTCTGCTCTGGCCGCTTACGCAGCCGCCTGCGCCGCCAAAGGGGTGCTCCTCCGCTGGCGTTCTCCCTCGCTCTGCCGTAAAAACACGACACACCTGCATAACCGTTCACTATTTCAGTATTGTTTGCGTAACTTGCTGTTCTCTTAAAAGAGGAAACTTTCGAGTATTAAAGTTCATAATTTATTTAAATATCTGAAAGAAACCCCGCTACACAAACGAGTGATTTCAATCCTCAGAGATGGAGTGCACCAGAGGCCAAGTGTACGAGGCCTGCGGGAGCTTGTGCGACCGCACCTGCATTTCCCTGTCCGGAGCGGAGAGTGGATGCGGAGGGGAGAGAGTGTGCGAGGAAGGTTGTTTTTGCCCCACTGGAAAGTACCTGAGCGACTCTGGAGAGTGTGTGACGGCAGACCAGTGCACGTGCCTGCATGATGGACAGCTGTACCAGCCTAATGACGTCTACGCCGATCACAGCAGCATCTGGTCTGTGGGCGTAACATTCAAATACGTTGTTATCTCATGCACATTAATCAGTCAAGGGACATATTTAACATGAGAAAGAGCTGGCGTAACATCACCAAACTAAAATGTCACCAAAAACGTATATATACAGTACTGAAATAATGATCTTGTCTCAATTTACTCACATATGGACTTCCTTTATGAAATCCGGGACTGTTTACCCATGACACAGACATAACTCTGTTCTATGAATATTAACAGGTTAATAATTGTACCTTCTGCCATCTGGGTGAAGTGTATTTAATTGTTGTGCCTGTCACTTCATATGGCTACATAACGTTACTATTTCTCGCCTGATGGTCTCTCATAGCACATGAATGTACTGGGGCACAGTGGCTGGTAATTACTGATCTCATGACATCAAATAATAAGAGCTACGCCAACAATTCTGCCTTAAAATATATAATAACCCGAGTCGTGATCAAGTGATCTCCACATCATGCAGTGTAGTTCCACATCACTGAAAACCATAGCAGGTCCTCGGGTTAGAAAGGTGAAATCATGATCATATTATATTTATCGAGAAATATGGGCAGCATTATTTTCATAGAATGTTTCTTTTTAAAATCTGGACAAAGGTGATTTTTATTTTATTTTTTTTAATTCTTGTATTTACAGTTACTGTGAGAATGGATCCATGCGCTGCAGTTCTACAGAAACGAGCACTTTGCTGTCCGATCTCTTCTACGACGACGACCTGGCACCCTCCAGAGGTGAACTCCAACACATATTTTAATAAGAGTCAGTCCATGTTGGTGGGGTAATAGGTTCCAAACCCATCTAGGTGAAATTCCGCGATGTAGAGACCACATACAAAAAAAAAAAAAAAGTCATTTTCACAACCTGACAAAGGCTTCAAACAGATTTAAACTTACGAAAATGGACTGTCCTAAGTATTCCTTACATCCTATTGTCATTCTTCCTTTCAAAAAATAAGAGACTATCATATAACATCACTTTAAGGAAACGAAAAGGAGACCCTCAATGGCAAATTTCTCAGAAAAGCATCCTTGCAACCAAACCATAAAATTCCAACTGTATTTGTCTGCTCGCTTAAAGCTAACATATAATGAGCACTGGTTTATATTCTCTCTTCTGCCGGAACAATATTACTGGTTCACTGTAGAGTTACATGGAGTCCATAACTATAAAACAATCAAATGAAAAGCAGTAAGTTTCGCAATGAGTGTGCCTTCTTGTGCCGTGTGACATGTTTTCTTACACCGCCTAGCAAACTAACTCAGTGTGCACCGACAATGAAAGCTTAGCAACAAAGTAAATGTGATACCCTTGTTGGCGTCGCTACTTGCAGAGAAGCGCTCTGCAAGATGTCCCCCTCAACTGATCCGAGCAAGGTGTAGGCCCGGGGAAAAAGGCCTGGAATGTGCCAGAAACTGCCAGAATGCAGACCACCCCTGTGTCTCACTTGCCTGCATCCCCGGCTGCCTCTGCCCACTCGGCACAGTAGGTTGCGGTAGCTTCATACATGCAATAGATATTCTCCTTGTTAATCATATGTCTTATCCTTATTGAATCTATTTGCCACATAAAGTAGTTTAGAAATTAGGGAATGGACAGATTTGTTAATTTCATTTGTGTATTGCTTTTTTTTTAAGTTTGAACAACCAATAACGTTTTGACTCTGTTTCTAAAGTATTGATTGAAGGAGTTTGTACGACCAAAGGATATGAAACAGGGCTCGCTGACTGATATTTCAGGTACGCCATCATGGAGACTGCATTGTGCCGGAGCAGTGCCCGTGTTACCATAACAACAAGCCCTATGCTTCAGGACAAAGCATACCGGTGGATTGCAACACCTGGTAAACCGATTATTTAAATGTAGTACTTCTTGGCGGTTGCATGACCTACTTTTATTTTGCAGCACGTGCAAGAACAGGAAGTGGCACTGCACTGACAAGTTTTGTGACGGCGTGTGCCGCACCGTGGGGGAGGCCCACTACATCACCTTTGATGGCCTAAAGTACACCTTTCCTGGTCTCTGTCAGTATGTCCTAGTCCAGGTAAGACCGGTTCAAAAGAAATAACTTCGACTTGTAACGTCTTGAGTGTTTTTCGACCTCTTTGTCCATTCTTTTTACCTTCATTGCACACAGGACATGTGTAATGGAGAAGAAGGGACATTTAGAGTGCTGGTGGAGAATGAAGCCTGTGGCCTTGTGGGACATCGCTGTGCCAAGTCGGTGTCAGTCTACTACCAAGGAGGATTGATTCTGATGCAAAAAGGCGAGGTATTTTAAAATTTTTTTTTTTTTTGCTTGAAAGGAAATATTTTTAAGAATAATGATCATAATAATATCCAGCATGCACATGCACAACTCATGCGATGAAGACGCTCCATAGCTTCCACCAACAACCGAGGTGACACCGAGCTCCTCCCCAGCATAGAAAAAGCTTAGTTGTCTCTCAGTAAAGTATCACTTAACAATATTTCCTATTAGCCTTGCTGCCATCTTGTGGCATCTTATAGCATTACATAAAGATCACACGGACCGTGAACGGTTGAGTTTTTCGGTGAATAGGTAAAGATAAGGTTCCACAGGAAAAAAAAAAAACACAAAGTGAATTTGTGAAGAGCAAACCACAAATAACCATAGATTCACTACGTATGCATTTCAAAAGTAAAAGTACCCATGTATTGCTGAGTCAGAAATATAATAAAACGACTCAATGGACAGGATCAATATTGCAAACCGGCCACACACACACACACACACACACACACACACACACACACACACACACTAGTGGTGCCATTTTGCTCTGTTTTCATGCCATGAACATGTTTTGGTCATTGCTCAGGTGAAAATGAAGGTGCCAGTACCACAGAGCTCGCAGGTGGAGATCATCCGATCAGGTCAATTCTACACCCTACTGCTAGGGAAACACATTTCCCTAAGTTGGGACAAGGGAACGCACCTCCTGGTCCACATATCGGCTGAATACAGGGTACTCGTGTATTAATCCACTCATTTTTCAAGCCGCCATTTTGACTCTCTTTTTTTTTTTTTTCTGTCATTTTCCTACATGTGTAGAGTCGGGTGTGTGGTCTGTGCGGTAACTTTGACGGGAATGTGAATAACGACTTAGTCAGCAGTAACAATCAGCTGGAGGTGGACTCTTTGCACTTTGGGAACTCCTGGAAGGTTGCTCCAAGCTGTGCCGATGTCACGCAGGTAATGCATGTTTGTAACGTGGTTGGGAGAGGGACAGTTTCAGATTGTAGTGCCAAAACAATAATAATATCGGTAATCTAGATACTTTTAAAAATTTGGGGCTACTTTCAATATTTATGACCCAAGAATGTTGCATTTGTGTTTCCAGGTACCCGCTCCATGCGCTGACGACATCGTCAGACTGGTAAAAGTTGAGCAGTCGTGCCGTGTGCTCACTGGTCCCCTCTTTAAAGAGTGTAATACTCAGGTGAGTATAGCAGCAGAAATCCAAAGGGTCAATAGCATCTACATTAAGTACACCGTCATCTGAATTGAAAGCCAATGCAGAGAAAATGTCATTTGAGGTGCTTCGAATATGTCACGTACTGTAGCTAGCTAGGTAAGGTCAACAAAGAAAACAACAACTGCAAAACAGAAATCTAAATCTGGTCAATTTAGCTTTACTTATCTTTCTGGATTGGGTTCATTTGGCTCAATTCCCCAATTGGACTTCCTCAAAGTGCCATGAAATGTGCTCAAAATGGCCGACTTCCTTTTCAATTTAAGGCATGTCCTTGACAGTTTTTCATGCGTCCTGATGTGACGATTTATCGTCAATTGGGAAAACGGGTGAAGGGGAGTTTTGTGGGCAGTTTTGACGCCATTAAAATGCATAATAATAATATCAAATAGCGATTCCAAGAGAGGGTTCACACAAGTTGGCCCCATTTTTCATGCATTTTTGGATCGTATTACCTTTTGCAGGTATACTGTACATACATTGAGTATGGTAAGTGTTGTTTCTTCCCTTCATGCATCTCCTTAGGTGAACGCGGAGCCATACGTAGAGATGTGCGTGGGGGCGGCGTGCACTTGTCCGTCCGTGGGCGACTGTGCTTGCTTTTGTGATGTCATCGCAGCTTACGCTCAAGCTTGTTCGCAGAACGGTGTATCCGTCAACTGGAGATCCAACGAGCTTTGCCGTGAGTGTGAAGAATATCCCCGTGGTCCTTTATGGCAGCGGTCCCCGACCCTTTTTTGCGCCACAAACCGCTTTATTTGTTTCATTCATATGGAGCGGCATATTTGAAAGTAGTTGTGAGCACTGTGCTTGTTTTTCTTCACTGAGCCAGTCCTCTCATTTTTTGCTAGCATTGCAGGCTTACTTCTTTCGAAATATCTCACATAAGCGAGGCCATCCGCGTGACGTGTACAGAACCACAGGCAGCTGCATTTTTTCAAAATAAAACGTCTTTCTGACTGTCATGAACAATACAAGTTTCCCTGTGCAGTCCTGTATTGAATGGCCCCGTGGTTGGCGGACCGCTGCTTTTTTGGATGTGTAATAGGAACAAACCAACGAACGCAGCAGCCAAAAATGCGAGTAAAACCTTCTCGTCTCCATAGCGATGAGCTGTGAGGAGTTGAACCCGAAGATTCCGGCTACCGGAGAGGAGTTATGCCAGTGGAGGTACAACACTTGCGGCCCTGCCTGTCCCGTCACCTGCCAGCACCCCGATCCCCTCCAGTGCTCCCTCACATGTGTGGAAGGATGTCATGCTTACTGCCCCCCAGGTGCCGTATATATTCTCATACAGTAAATTTAGCATTTAAAGGGAGACATATTATGTCAAATTCACTTTATTGGTTTGGATATAAAGTGTTGGGTCACTCGAGTGCCTGCCCAACCATCAAGTAGGGAATCACACAAACTGCCTTTTTCTGAAAATGTGTCAGGTCGCAAGCTATTTTACTTTTGTAAACATTGTAAACGTTGTGACATAACAGTGTGGCTAAATAATATAATTTCCAAACTCCTGTTTCTCCACCTGACTTGGTAACCAGGCCGGGTGAAAAAATGTTTGGAAGCACAGAAGTACGAGGTGTTCAGAAATTAACTTAACTGTGCACTTGTAATTTTTATTAATAGACATATAGAAGACAGAACTAATACTAAAACATGTCTGTTCTATTATGTCACAAAAAAGTAAGCAGAGCTGCAGTGTTGGAAGTACTGATTACCAAGCGCTAACAGCGCCGCTATCAGATATGGGACCCTCCTCATAAAATTGACTTGATTTTGCAATTTCACCCAGTGGATAAACCGAAACCAGACCCCAAAACGGAATAATTTAATTTGATCCCAGAGTGTTATCAATGGATATAGATTGGGCTGTAACGGTTTGTCATTTATTTTGTTGGGGGAAAAGGTCAGAGTCTGATCCTTGAGACACTTCAGAATTGTTTTAAAGTGAATCTTGCTTGTTCACCATGTTTTTCTCAGGCCAGCTGCTGGATGAGGTGGCCATGCGGTGTGTTGAGCCCACTCAGTGTCAGGTATGCATCCATGAGGGTCAAAGGATCTCCCACGGCAACAAAGTCATCATCAGCCGCCATGACCCCGCCCACTGCAAAATATGGTAAGAGTGGCTACTCGATGCTCATTTGTAATGAAAAAAAGAACATCCAGGGGAGTGTAGGGATGTAAAGTTCAGAATATAACTTTCCTATGAATTCATTTATAAATTGTGATTTATTTGCTTTCTTTGTTATTTGTCCCCAAAGTCACTGTGAAAACAACACTCTAACCTGCGAGGTTTGCACCACTTTGATCACCGCCGCACCAACCCTCGCCTCCGCCACCTTTACAACCATCCCCATGACCACCATGATGCCGGAGGGGACGTGCGATCGTGCCATGGATCTGGTTTTCCTGCTGGACGGCTCCACCGCATTGAGCGAAACCGAGTTTCAGACCACCAAGGAGTTTATACTGGGAGTGGTGGAGCGCTTCCGCTTGGGCTCCGCTCACACTCGAGCCGCAGTGTTGCTTTACTACTCTGGGGTCAAAACGTATGATTTACAGGTAACCCTAACCCTGTCAAATTTGGGACTGTAAAACTCAACGTTGGGCCATTATTATGTAAATTAGCCACACTGTGTCCATCACTATCCAGTCAAATTAATAATAGCTCACGAATTGACTTATTTTTGCGAAATAGGCAGATAAGAAAAGCCAAAATAAGCCTAACTTCAGGGACAGAGCTGATATGTAAATAAGCAATTAAAATGTCATCTTACCAGAAGTCACTTTTAAATTCAAATTGGTGCCGATTCGTTGCTTACATTTGAAATCATTGTGACATGACAGCTTTCCCTCGCATTTTAACTTTTTTTTTTTGCCCTGTAGGTTCAGAAGTGGCTGTTTAAGAAGACGGTGCACGAGCTGCACTACGCCGGAGGTGAAGCCGCCTTCTTGGACGAGGCCATTAAATATCTCTGTTACAACATCTATGACAAGAACAAACGAGAACACGCCGGCCGCGTCGCCGTCATCTTGACGGCCAGCACCAACCCTCGGCGAATGCAGCCATTCATCAGCATGCTCCGCAGGAAAAAAATCACCACGTTGACCGTAGCCCTCGGTCCCGGGGTGAGCATGGCGCAGATTAATGATATCACAAAGGCCAACCCCGAGAACAGGGCCTACGTGCTGAGTAGCACAGCCGAGCTGCCCGATCGCCTTTTAGAATTGACCGACTACCTTTGCACTTTGGGGCTTGAGCCAAAATCCAGTACGACCACCACGACTCGCTCTCCTCGACCGCCAATCGCCCCGACCAAACACCTCACCACCACTTCTACCGTGCCTTCCGTACTGTCTCCAACCACCACCACAACACCCTCGTCCGTACCGCCAACCAAGGAAGTGACTTTCATCATTGAAGGCTCCGATTCAGTCGGGGAGGCCAACTTCAACAAATCCCTCCTCTTCCTGGAGGAAGTTGTGACGCAGATGTCTGAGAAGAATGAGTTCATCCGCATCACGGTGATCCAGTACTCGGTCACGGTGACCGTGGAGATCCGGCGCTGGGATCTGAGATACCAAAGGATGTTGCTGCTACAACGTCTCAGGGAGATTCGTTGGCAGGGCGGAAGCAAGACGAACACCGGCGCCGCCGTGGCAACTGTATTTCAGAACACCGTCACCGTCCCGCCTTCACGTGGATCCGTCCCACCGCAGCTGGTCTTCCTAGTGACGGAGAACCCGCCCACGGACACGGTGACGCGCCCGCCGTCCACGAGCACCCATACACACGTGTATCCCATCGGAGTCGGCTCCAAAGTGCGGGAGGTGGATTTGTTCGCCTTCAGCTCGCCGCAACGTCCGATGATGGTGGAGGACTACACGTATCTCAATAAACTGGTCCACCGCGTTGTCAACATCACGCGCACCACGGTCACGCCGCGCTTCCCCACCTTGGTGCCCCTGGTCCGTCCAACGCTTGCCAGCCTCCCACCCACAGGTAGAGCTGCCATCTGTTTGCCGCCGTGAGCCGTCGTGATTGTAGAAATACAGTAAATATGGATACTGTGAATAGCAAAAAACTGTGACCCCCCCACCCCCTAAAAATGCAAATAAATGCCAATAGTTTTAACTGTAAATATACCACTATGATCTCCAAACACAAGCATTATTTCAAAATCATCATACAAAATTCCCCTAAAAAATACATTTGAAACGAATGCACCTGAAGTGTGAGAACACAAGCATGTACAGTAAGTGTCTGCTTTGCAAACCCGTAAAAAATATGCATTACTGCTTTCCTATTAGCCTATTTCTGAGTTAGTGACATTGAAATACTCCTCAGAGCACCACCTTTGCAAAGTTTGGGTTCACCACAAAAACAGTATATTATAAACTATTTGTTTCAAAGATTCAAGTTCACTTTGAAATTTAAACTTGATTAATTTAGCTATTTCTGATTAATTATCTTAAAAAAAAAAAACAAAAACAGTGTTTTTGTTTAAACATTTGTGACTAACCCCATACGAGGATACTGCTACAATATATAAGTGTAATAGGTGTGTTTTATATTGACTAGTTTTAGTTAGGTTCCGCAGAAAAAAATTTGAGTACGTGAGTTTACAAATAGTGATTGGCAAGGGTTCGGTATCCCCGTATTGAGATGACGAGACAGTTTTCCATCTGTTCCCAAACTTCCCACAGTGCCTTGTAAAACACCCGTGGACATCCTCTTCCTGCTCAAGTCCGGAGAGCAGTTGGACGACATGAAGACTTTTGTAAAAGCCTTCATCAACACAGCGGATGTAGGTAGGTTGACAAAAGACCGTTCAAGATGCACTGTTAACGGATCGATTTTCCTCTAGCGCTTGTCCTCCTTCACATCGCGGCTGTGCTGGAGCCTATCGAAGCATTCACACTCAAACTCACACCATTGGACAATTGAGTGTTCAGTTTACTTAGAAAACATGTTTTTGGAATATTGGAGGAAGCTAGAATACCCGTGGAAAACCCACGCAAGCAAATTCAACCCAAATTTGAACCCACACCACATGATTGTGAGCTGGATGTGACCGCAAGATGTTAAGTCCCGTTTTATCTGCGTGCAGGTCCGGACGGCACTCACGTGAGCGTGATTCAGTACGGCGACACCATCAACTTGGAGTTCAGCTGGAGAGAGCAACAGATCAAGTTGCGCCTCCTCGGCCTGGTGGACAACATTCCCAGAAGGAGAACTGCGGCACCTGCACTCGGTAACCGATAAAAAAAATATATGTGAAGTGTACACATCATCGATTCATTGGAGCTTACCGCTGTGTCTCCGTCTCAGGCTCGGCACTGCGATATGCCATCCAAGAGGCCATTAAAGGAGGGAGAGTAGGCGTGCCCAAGGTAGTGGTGATGATCGTGACCGATAAGTCAACTGATCTGGTCCAAGAAGCAGCGAACGAAGCAGTGGCGGCAGGTAACCCAATTTCTCCATACAGCGGTCGTTATTACACAAACAATCATGACATTATTCCCGTTAAAATGTTTTTGATCTAAAAAAAAAAAAAAAAAAAAAAACTTATACAATGTAAAAGGTCTTGTTTTTGCTTGCATGGATTTTCCACGGGTATTCTAGCTTCTTCCAATACTCAAAAACATGTTTTCTAAAAAAAAAAAAAAAAAAAAAAAAAGACCTTATATGGTTATATATTTTTTTTTTGATCGAAAAGATTTTTACGGGAATAATGTCATGATTGTTCGAGAGCAAAAGTCTTTTTTTGTTGCAAATATTGCTCTATTTTTTCAGAGAGTAAAACATATTTTGGAAAATAAGAGGAGTATTATTTCAAGAATGAAGTTAAAAAAATTCGTTTTGAAATTCACTTGTTAAAATGATTTTCTTCCCTTTTTACTTGACCATCATATTTCAACTTCTTGGAAAAAAATTCTTATGAAATTATGACCCTTTCATCTTCTTTGCTCTTGAAATATTATGACTTATTTTCTGAAGGAATATAACTGAAAAAAAATATATATTTTGTTGTTGTAACATTTCACTTTTTTAATACAGGAAACTTTTTGATGGCATTTAAGGGAGGTTGTTGTCCTTACGTTTGATTGGTGTTGGTATCACGCTGGGGTCCTTATAAAACGGCTCCCTGGACCCAAAATGTTTGAGATCCCCTGCATTCGAACAACCGTTCTTTCCTTTTACATATGTAATTGTTTGGGTTGTCTTGTGCCTCAGGTGTTTCGGTATTCCCCATCAGCGTGGGCCCAGGCTCCGACCAGAAGGAGCTGGCGACTCTCAGCCAGAACGTGTTGCACTTAAAGAGTATGGATCAGTTACGGATGCTGCTGACTTTGGACCGCGATTACGCAGAAAGAATCTGCAAAGGTGCCTGTCGTCGCACACACTTGAATACAGCTGAAAAGAACTCAATTCGTGGCAGCATTGTTGTCGTTTTTAGAATATCGGTGATTGTGACGGTAATTGTTGGCTGTGATTTGCTTTGGCTCTCAGTTGGTCCGCCAAGAGTGTGCGTTGACGACAATGGCAAAGAGAGAAAAGTGAGAAACATGATTACAAAAAAAAAAAAAAAGAATTCACTGTGCAACTCTACAATTATGTTTTGTTGTTGTTGTTGTTACTTGTGTGCTACAGCCTGGAGAGTCATGGCTACTGGAGGACGGCTGCCATTCAGTGCTGTGCCATCCCAATGGGGACGTAACCGTGCAGAACCACAAAGTCAGCTGCGATAGACTGGAGCCGCCGGCGTGCAGAAACAACATGCTGCCCGTAAAAGTCCAAGAGGCCTGCAGCTGCCGTTGGGAATGCCCGTGTATGCATACAGATCGGATCATGCGTCTTCCGATTTTCAACTCTGTACAACGCGAACAATGAGGCTGTGTTTAGATGACACGGTTCATGTGACACAATGAAAGAGTTCTCGCGCTCAAGTGACACGATTTCACATGTCAGTGTAAGAAGGAAAAAAAAATGCACGGTGTTGAAAATCTTCAAATTAGTTCTCTCCTAAACATGGCTAAAAATCAGATACATCTCAGATTTTTGCCAATGGAACATCCGCATAACATAAACATCTTATGTACAGCTAATCTACAGAGAAAGCGTTAAATACGGTCTCTATCTTTGACCTCAGAGGTCTTGAGACATTAACTATGGCTTGTTATGGAATGACAATATTCATTCATTCATTCATTCATTTTCCGATCCGCTTTTTCCTCACAAGGAAGCCGGGTTGCTACAGCCTATCCCAACCGTCCTCGGGCAGTAGGCTGGGCACACCCAGAACCGGTTGCCACCTAATCGCAGGGCACACACAGACGAACAACGACCGTCGCTCACACTCACAACTAGGGACAATTGAGAGTCTTCAATCAGCCTGCCATGCATGTTTTTGAAATGTGGGCGGAAACCGGAGTACCCGGAGAAAACCCACGCAGGCCCGAGGAGAACATGCAAACTCCACACAGGGAGGCCGGAGCCGGAATCGAACCCTGCACCTCTGCACTGTGAGGTCGACGCGCTAACCACTGGACGGGATGACAATATATAGACAATAAATATGATATAAATATGCCTCATTTGAGCTGTTAAATAGGGTGTAAATATGCTACATTACCTCATATTCGTGGCTTTCTCACCGTTGCCTGTATATATGGGTGTTGACAGGCATTTGCATGGGCAGCTCCACCAATCACGTCGTGCGATTTGACAGCTTGCCGCTCAGGCTGGATGCAGAGGGCCTGTGCTCCTACACCCTCCTCACTGTCAGCGATGGTTCGGAGGTCACGCTCCACAACGGCCCTTGTCAGGACGCGGCAAAATACAGCCACGTCTGCATGAAAGCCATCGAAGTGACGCACGGGCCGCGTAAAATCCTACTGAAGGATGATATGACGGTAAGTCGGGTTTCTGATATGTTCGTTTGGGCAGGGAAAGTACGGCCCTTTGCGTCTTTTGATTTTTCTGTACGTGGGTCTCGGAGGAAAAAAAAAAAAATTTGGACACCCCTTGTTGAGAAGGTTTTTCCCTCGATTTGTGCAGGCGTTCATTGGGCGAGAGGAGGTTTTGCTACCATGGAGGCAAGCGGGTCTGGAGCTGGTGCGATTCGGCGGAGTGATGCTGCAGCTGAAAACTGACCAGGGCTACCTTTTGACGTTCACACCACAGAGGAACGAGTTCACCATCACGCTGCTCAATCCCAGCGTTAGCGGCAACACTGCTGGACTCTGTGGTAACGTACTTGAAGCATCATGTCATGTTCTTCTGATCATTTATCCATGTCGGTGATGTATAATGACAGGAAGAGCAATTAAATGCTATTATTAATCCACTACATAGCAGTTGAACCGGATCATCCAGCTTTTGTTATTCCTGCAACAGATTTTTGGAAAATAGGTGCTTTGGAAAGACGAGGTTCAGAAATGCCATTGACGTGACATCATCTTTTGCGGGCGTCTTCCTTCTCAGGCGCCTGCGGGGAGCAATCCGTCAACGTTCTTTCCTTACGTGATGGCAGTCCCACTTCCGACCAGATGACCTTCATCTCCGACTGGACCACGACTGGCGACGGGGGCGTGTGCGTGCCCAAGCGGAAGGTGGGCGTGTGCTCCTCCGGGGCGGCCATGGGATGCCAGGCACTGCGCTCACAGGTGTTTGAGGCCTGTCACGCGCACATTCCTGTCCTGATGTTCCTCACCAAATGCGAGGAGCAGGCGTGCGAAGAGTCGGACGTGTGCGAGCTCATTTCCACATACGCACGCCTGTGTAGACAGAGGGGTGTGTGTGTCGACTGGAGAAGCCCCCATATTTGCCGTAAGTCTGAAATGTGGTCCTCATACTTATTCTGCCACTTTTTTCTGCTTTTCAGACTTCCACATATGTCAACTGATTTAATCCCTTCCGACATCAAAATATTCAGCACATTCGGAATATTTAGACAACTCTATGTTCATTCCCTTTTTCTGCAATTTCTCATTTTGCCCAAAAATGATTGCCTTGAAATCAATGGAGATGTGTTCCAAATTTAACTCGTCCTCTCATTTTTGTCTACATCGTTTATGACTCAAACTGTGCCAATTTTCAATGTTCAGCTCAATCATGACATTGGTGAGTGTTTTTCATGTTCCCCAAATTCCCACTCGTTCAGTATTTTACATTTTTTTACACGACAAAACTCCTGAATGGATGCACAACAGTCAAAATATTTAGCTAATTCAGGACAAAGGGGAACTGTTTTTGTTTTTTTTTTTTACTTTTACAAAATTCCCACTATTCCATATTCCTATGAAAAAAAAAATCAAGATAAATTTAAGCAGAAATGCCCTGTTTTAACTCATCTATAATTCTCGACACAATATGTTCATTTTACAAATGTACATCATGATTCCTTAATCGACAGATTCTGCAGCCTTTCAGTCAATGTCAGCTCTTCGGCATTCACACACAATTTCTACCGTGATTTCATTCTTCATCTCCATTTCGCATTTGCAACAAAACTCCCATCTCTTTCAGCTTGGCAGTGCCCTGCCACCATGGAGTACAGTGCGTGCCGCACGGGCTGCGTGGAGGATTGTGACAGTGCGCAGCCGTTGCGGGGTGACTGGTCGGTTGCCACGGGTAACGGGTCGTCATGTACAGACACACCCATGGAGGGCTGTTTTTGTCCGGAGGGGACAGTTCCGCATCAGGGAGTGTGTGTTTCACCGGAGAAGTGCAAGCAGTGTGTGGACCGTCGTGGACGTGCATACGAGGTTAGAATCAGGAAAAGCACAATAAGATGCTAAAAGTGTGTGTACGGTGCGGTACGGTGGCGACTGGTTAGCATGTCCGCCTTACAGTACAGAGGTCCTGGGTTTAGTTCCGGGCTCCGGCCTTTCTGTGTGGAGTTTGCATGGGTTCTCTCTTGGTACTGCAGTTTCCTCCCACATCCTCCAAAACATGCGTGGTCGGTTGATGGAACACTCTAAATTGTCCCTAGATGTGAATTTGAGCGTGAATGGTGTTTTGTCTCTGTGTGCCCTGTGATTGGCTGGCAACCAGTTCAGGGTGGACCCCGCCCGCTGCCCGATGACTGCTGGGATAGGCTCCAGCAAGCCCGCGACCCTCGAGAGGAGAAGCGGCTCGGATAACGGATGGATGAAGTGTGTGTGTGTGTGTGAGACTGATGCAAAATGAAATGAATAAATTCACTTAAACAGGGTTCCCACGGGTCCTTAAAGTTCATAAAAATCCATAAAAAAAGAAGTTGTAAAATGATTTTCTTAATTGTCCTTAATTTTCAGGGAAAGCTTCTAAAATCAATGAAAATCCTTAAAAATGTATTTTTATTCGAAAATCAATTGAAGTTTTATATTTTCTAAATTTAAAATTCTTACTTACTTTATTTGACAATGAATTTTTCATTTTCCAACAGTATGTCAAATAAAGGGTTAGTTGATTGCCCCTAACAATAAAGATGTGTCCTTCCCTTGGCAGCAATGATTTGAACACCAGCTCAGTGATATGTGGCTTTCTGTTCAGCCCGCATATTGCTGAGCGGGCATTAAATCCACCGTGAATGCCCTGCTGAATGGAGAACAAGTTTTTAAAAATGGCTAAATTAGCCCTCAAAAGTCCTTAAAAGTTCCATAAATAAAAAGCAAGTGGAAGAGTGGAAACCCTGTTAAAACAGACATACTTGTGGCAAGTACATGGGCTTTCCAAAATAGTTTTTGACTGCCCCTTAGTGTTTATCATTTAAGACAAGCTTGTGTGTACTTGTGTTGTGTGCACAGTATCTGCAGACTTGGGTACCGGATGACAATCCTTGTTTGATTTGCTTGTGTTTGGCCCGACAACAAATCAACTGCACCGCCCGTCCGTGCAACGACGTGAAAGGCAAGTTAAATATGCTCCAATTTAACTTTCTGTTTCTTATGACAGCCATGCGCTATAACCGCATGTTTGTGTTGTGTGTGTAGCCCCGGCGTGCGGAGCCTGTGAAGTGCTGAAGGAGAAGAGAGGATCCAAATGCTGCCCAGAGTATGAATGTGGTACGTACAAAATTATTTACAAATAACCCCCTTGACTTGCAAGTGCCCCCACTCATGATTTAAGGGAATGACAGTCAACTTTTTGCTCTGTGGCATTTTAAAAACAACCAGCGCTGCAAAAAAAGTGCTGTTCACAGAGTAAAAATCAGACATACATAAACAAAGACCGCTAAAACAAAAAATTAATAACATAAGAAACAGTGAACACCATAAAATGCGACAACAATGCTGAGTCTCATGCTGGGTCAAAAACTGTACAATAAAAATATGTTAGATTTAAAAATGGATAGAGAGGGGGCTTCCCTCTCAAAACAAGCTGAGTTCAGTGAGGCTAGCAAAAAATGTTGTAATTATTGATCCCTTTGATATCTCGATTAAAAAAAAAATTCCACGTTAATAAAAATATCTACGATTCTTTTAAATTGTGGATAGGGGTTAATACATCACCTTTAACACGTTAAGCTTTTTACCTCTAAGGCTTTACTGTCCATGGAGCTCATGTGCTCCCTCTGTAACTTTCAAGTGTGTGATCTGTCGAGCTGTGATGTTCCCGAGACGCCCCGCTGTGAGGATGGCGAGATACTGCTTCTGAAAAACCCAGGAGAATGTCAAGCCATCCACGAGTGCGGTAGGGCACGGTCTTATCCTCCTGTTTCCCGAGATCACACACCTGCGATCATGTACCTTGTGAACGCTTTTGAATCCGACGTGGCTTCGTCTCTTTTCGACCACCCAGTTTGCAAGAAGGAGAACTGCGCCCTCAGCCCGACCCCAGTGTGCGGCGCAAATCGCCACCTGACAGTCAAAAAGACAAAGTGTTGCGACGTGTTTGAGTGCTCGTGTAGCTGCCAGAACGTCACCCGCACTTGCCCGGCCGGCTTCATCACGGTCTCCAAGACGGACGACTGCGGCTGCACTGAGATAAGCTGCCTGCCGGACAAAGTAAGTCCATTACATTTCGCCAAAAAAAACTGGCAATAACTGTTTAAACATCTCCGGCAGGGTTTTGATTTTCAAATTATCACTTCTGCAACATTCCTAGAAAATGACATTGTCCCCTCCGCGGCTGAACTACTTTTTTTTAACAGGCCCGCGGGCTACTCATGTTGTCCTTGAGGGCCACCTGGTGGCCATGGGCACCAGGTTGGCGACCTCCAGGCTGGAAAATGGATGGATGATGTACTTGTGAAGGGGGGATTCCATTTTTAAATCTGATTATCCAACAGGTGTGTGTTGTGGGCGACGTGGTCCATGCGGTGGGCAGCAAGTGGGTTGACGGATGCGAGAAGTGCATCTGTAGCACACTACAGGACAAGGACACGTCACTGCACATTGCTCAGTGCTCTACGCCAGTGTGCCAACGGAACTGCCCGCTGGTGAGACAAACAAAATCGTGTGTTTGATTCTGTCCATCACCAAAATCAATAATGCAACCATGTTGTACGTATACTGTACATGACAGGGTTCAACATACACACTGTCCAGTGGAGAATGCTGCGGGAAATGCAGAGCAACTAGTTGCGTGGAATCGGATGGAGAAATGCGAGGGGACGCAGTGATCGGAGGAACGCTTAGACAGGTTTACAACTCACACACACCTGAGTTTAATCTTTCTGTGACACCAATCCCGCCAAGCCGAACGTATTCGATCCGTGTTTGTAGGTTGGGGAGCAATGGCAGTCTTCTCTTGACAAATGTGTGGTGAACCAGTGCGTGAGGGTGAAGGACGAGGTGTTCATCTCTTCCACCAACATCAGCTGCTCTGCGATGGAAACGCCGTCCTGCCCACTGGGCTCCGAGCTACGCTGCGATGCGCGGGACTGCTGCCCACGCTGCCAGTGTGGTAAATGTCACACATACGACGCGATGAGCTAAGCTAACTCTGCGTGAGTCGAACGCGGAGTCTTGTAGGATGGGATTTGCGTTCCTATGGAGGCTGCTGTAACCAGAATTTGTATGTAAGTGGGAATGTGTGGGATTGTCATGTTTACCAATGCAGTCATGTAGTCATAACTAAAGCAAGTATTTGAATGAAAAACATTTTTAGGCCATAAGTGAACTCTGCTATTGGGGAGAAGGGACTAAGCTTAGATGCTAATCGCGCAAATTTGCAAATGATGAATGTCCATGCCACATAATTTTTAATATATATTTTTTATGACATTTTCTGACTCAGTAATACACCAATCAATCTTTTTAATTCATCACAAATGACTCTTTGTCCTTCATTGCCATTGAGCAGCTAGCCATGGCCGGTGAATCAACTTTCATCCCCGCCAAACCGTTCTCTGTATCATCTTAAGAAAGTTAGCACACCGATTTCACTGTCATCTGTCTGACTTCTGCTTGAATCTTTCATCGCGCGACTATCTGCTGTTAAGTGGGTTGGCTTTCCTAAACATGGCACCATAGAAGGACCAGAGTGTTTTGGCGCCATTGTGAAACGCATTTTCAGAGGCTTTCCAGCAGAGGTCCTATCCATACAGCCCGTATTTGCTTGACCTGACAGTAGAGCTGATGGTCTAATTCTCCTTCACAGCTCCTTTAGATGTCTGCGTCCTGAACCACACACTGATAGGGGTAAGCCTTCTTGTCTTTTGAAATGGTGAATGAGTTCAATTGGATGTCTTATTAAAGTACAAATATGATGGGAAGTGTAATTTTTAATAGCATGTATACAAATGGTGCAATTTTTGTTGTTTTGTTTCTATGTATAGGCCGGCGAGATGTTGATGGCGGACGTGTGTACACGATGTGAATGCGTCGTGGAGGGCGGTCTCATCAAGAAACATCGACTCTCCTGCAGGAGGACGACCTGTACCCCGTGTCCCATTGTACGTCTTATCTCCGTATTGCATTTGTACAACGCAGGCCTGGTAATTTTGCTGGTATGTGCACCTATGGAAATGAATGTGTTGTGCTCACCACAGGGATACACAGAGCAGAAAGTGGAAGGCGCTTGCTGCGGCCGCTGTGTCGCCACTACATGCTTTTTACAAATGCCCGATGGGAAGAAAATGAGTCTGCATGTACGTACACACGTACATCACAGTCGACAATAATCCATTTTCTCCACGGTGTCGTCGAGTCGGTCTCAAATATTTTTACACCAAGTACCGCCTTGATCAATGCTTCGCTCTCCTCGTACCACAAACCACATTAACGGGGTAGGCCCAGGTGTTCGACAACAATGAGGCCGACTGCCAACCACCCAAAAAGCCTTTAATATTTAACAAAAGCAAACAACCGTGGTTCCACCCTCTTCCCCTAGCTCTTTTCGAAATGTCTTAGAGCCATAAGTGATGGAATAATTAAAATAATGAGCTAAACAGTCTAGTAGGAATCTGTACTCAATCATACTTTTATGGCTGACCAGTTCCTTCTGCATGGTGCCATTAGAGCTGTCAATTTCAGATGTATCTAACCTAACTATTTTCGCTCATTAGTAGTGTACTGGATTTAAAAAAAAAAAAAAAGTTGAATACACTGAAACATTAAGTGCAGTTTGTTAATTCAGCGATTTTCGCGTACCACTAGAGTATCACATTTTGAGAATCACTACATAGTAGTGCATACATCACTTGACAATACATTCAAACTATACTATGATATATTCTGCCGTAATAGTGTGCTATTCTATAATATTTTGCGAGCCCTACAATGTCATACTGTACCATACTAACCGAAACTACACTTTACGTCCAGGTGAACACCACAAAGGAGGACGGCTGCAACCAGTACGCTTGCGGCGTCAACAGCGAAGGAGACCTGGCCCTGCAGATCCGAACCACCACCTGCCCGCCTTTCAACCGCCAATCGTGCCTCGCCAACGGGGTGCGGGAGCCTCGTGCAACCTACCTGCCCATAAGTATTCACTCACAAACTTCAACGCTGTTTTGACTGACAGAACTCCTCTGTTTGTTCTCAGGGAACTGTGAGCCAGATCGGAACAACCTGCTGTGAGATGTGTGAGTAGAGCTATGATTGGTTATGAATTTTGTTTTTAAGTCTGTTTTTAAAATGGAGTGTGTACACCTGTTGGTGAGAAGGTACTGAGTCAGAATGTCGAAGAACGGCGGGAACGCTGAATTATGTCAGAGTGGACGACTGCCAATCGGAGCAGCAGATTGAATTGCACTACTGTGAGGTCAGGGGACACACAGTCACACGTGAAGTTGACGATCAATCAAACATCAATGTGGTCCGAAAACTAACTCTCTCACCATCTGATCCTCTCTGTCTGTCAGGGTAAATGTCGCAGTAAGTCCATGTACTCCCTGCAGACGGCCGCGGTGGAGCAGGAGTGTGTGTGTTGCGTTGCCACGGAGACAGAGCCGGTCAGTGTTCCCGTCCTGTGTGCCAATGGAACCCGCGGCCACCACACTATCCTGTCTGTCACCGCGTGCAACTGTCAGTCCAAACACTGCACCTAAAAACCACCAGAAGTTAGTTAGCTATGCTTTTGTTGTATCCATGACGATGTAACCGTATTAAACCGCACACGATTTCCAATAAAACATCAGTCAAGTGTTTTTCATTCTGTTTTGTAAATCATATGTATTTTCCCAGGTTGTACAAGTAAAATGTACTCTGTGTCAAGAGTACGGTAGCAAGGGCCAGCCAGGCCTTTGTTGGCCAAAAGACTTTCAGACGCACTAACCCACATTTACAATAAATACCTCTACCTAAATTTGAATATATGTTCCATGCATGTTTTAATGTACTGTATTCCGAACAGTCTTTTTCTAACGGGATGTGTCGCCACGTCAACCAATCGAATCTGACGATGGCCTTCAGAATCAGGAGTGTTGTCTGATATAACTTAAGCTATATCGACGATGGCACTGTTTTTGTAACCAATCATATTTCAGAAGCTTTTTTCTGCCATCTGATTGGCTAGCCGGATGAAAACTTCTTTGAGCCATCTTTGACCACCGCAGGATCTACACACATTAATCCATTTAATAATCATCATCCGTGATAACTCTGATATGATGTTTTTAAGTAGTGTTGATGGTTTTTATAATTGTGACATGATAATGTCAGTCACCATTGAAGATCCAGGTTAAAAAAAATGCACAGCTCGCCCCTGCCCGAAAGGTACTTTTGTCCTCAGAGTGCATGTGACCCATGCGCAACAAAAAATTGCTTTTCACATCTTGTGTGTTCACTCGTTATCCACACTGTGGTTTCCGCTTCAGCGAGTACCTTTGTAGAAGCAAGGAGATGACCGAACGCACTTGTGAGATGCAGACCGTTGTCAGTCTAATAAAAGCCGGGCTCCCCATAGGCCCAGCAGCGTATATTGTGGAATGAAAGCTTGAGTATTGCCTGACAGATTAGCCACTAAAATGAGCCCTATTTTCACCAAATATGTTGCAACAATGTTTACTATCGTCCCTCGCGATATCATTATGTTTTTATGGGTTCCTTGCATCGTAGATTTTTGTATTGTACCTATATAACGTATTATTTGCTCTGTCACAACATTTTACTGTAAATTATTTTTCCACACAGACTGTTACTGCTGACTCAGGTAACATTACACAGCAGAAGAAAGGACTGCTTTAAAGACAGCATTTCATTTTACTCAAGTGCCTTGTGCACCTATTTCAGAGTCCAAATGGCATAAACTACTCAACTGCACATCTCCGGGATAGTAAATATTGTTAGCTAATTGACTATAGGCTACCACCCTATAGAATGAGTTGTGTTCCATAACAGGTTGCTTGAATACAAGGAGGGTGGAAACAGCTAGTAATACAGTAATAATATAGTAATTTAAAAAAAATTATATATTTTTTTTAACAAATGGAAGAACAAAAATAGAATAAACACAATCGTGTTTTTGTTGACCTACTGGCAGTCTCAAATGACCACCTGTAAGTCACAAAACAGGCCAGGCCCGCCTCTAAAGACAGGCACACATGGGGTTACCTTTTGTGTCGAATGTGTGACTAGTGACCTCAAGTGGACAAAATAATACCCGCATCTCACATGCACATAGATAGATAGATAGATAGATAGATAGATAGATAGATAGATAGATAGATAGATAGATAGATAGATAGATAGATAGATAGACAGATAGATAGACAGATAGATAAATATTAAAATAATTACTTGGTCGTAGCTTTGCGGATTTTGTCGAAAGTGGGGGTGGTCTGGAACATAACCCCTGTGTTAAATGAGGGAGTACCCTGCTTGTTTTGATAAAAGCATTTTATTAAGACACCTGGGAACTTTTTTTTTAAATTGTAGCGGGGGAAATGCATATCTGCGTTCAAATACAGCGAAACGTCTGCCTATTCATTTCGTACATTTCAACACAGTTACTCCATAGTGTTTTGGGCGGCTCAAATTTATACCAAAATGGCGCTGTTTCGCTTTAAAAACAGTTTTTTGAAATGTTAAATGTTTACGTTGGTATGTTAATTTATAGTCTTACAAATGTTTGCGTGAACTCTCTGACAACCTTAGCTAGTGAGTTCGAACCAGCTGTTAAAGATTGTTTTTTTTTTTGCTTGCTATTGTTGCTGCTATTGTATATTTTCTGTGACTCTTTGTCTTCTAGAGTTTGGTTTTAAGGCCAACAAAATGTCCGGTATGTCACTGCGACTCAGGAGGAATTAGCAGGCTGGCGTGAGCGCGCAGAGCTAAACCCAATCGGTGTCGGGAGCGAGTCCGGATTGTTCACCATCTCGGGCCCAAGCAATGCGCACCTCGCGCGTCTTCCCAAGATCATTTTTAACATTGTCATCCTTTTACACGGGGCAGCCAGCTGAACCTCCACGAGCACTAGTGAGTATGCAATCGTCTCTTTCTTGTGTTTGTGATGAATAACGCTACACCCCCCCGGAGTGCACTGAACTACTTGTGCGTCCTGTGCGCATATTGACTCTCCCATTTGGCCTCGATCTTCTTATGTTGTGAATGAAGTTAACTGGGTTCCTCACTTCTTTTTTTCCGAATTATTAACAGTATATGTCACTGTTGTGTTTTAACCAAAGTCGCCTCCACCCCCTCCATCTGACCATCTGGATGCGCACAACTGTTGAATTGAAAACTGCCCATTTTCTATTCCCACAATAATTTAATTTAATTAAATCACATAGACTGTGTACATCTATAACGTGTGTGTACACAGTATAAGTTCACATCCAGTGACAGTCCTGTCCATTTCCCTACCTTTTGGTGACATATTTTTTGTAATCTTTTTCATTCAGATTCACATTTACCTTACAGTCTTAAAATGATCCCTGTTTTTAATTCAAATGTTATTGTATTTTTATGATCCATTTAGTCATGTACTACTATTGATTTTTATTCAAATTCCTCAGTAATTTTATTTTTTTCATTGGCTGTTTTAAACCAAAGCACCTTTTTACAATGTTTTGAATGGTGTTATCAAAGTAAACTCAGTGCTTTAAAAGAAAAAGTCTAGTGACCAGTCAGACCTCCCGCCCAAAGTCAGCTGAGATTGCACCCAGCACACTTGCGACCTCAGTGAGGAAAAGCATTCTGGCTATACAGTATAGTGTTTAAAATGAGTAGTGTGTTGGAGCGTTGTTCATGGATTGGCCTCTCAGCTATACCCTGTTACCTCTGCCCCTTCAAATGAGGGTGCATTTGTTGACCTTTCCACTTTGTGTTGTTGAGCTGTCAGCAGAGCTTACAGGTCGGTAAGCCTGACAGACATGCGCATGTGTCCTACTGCCGGGTTTGTTCCCACATAACAATGTCTGCATTCGTGTACCGGTAATCACCCCTTAGTAAACCATCCAGACAATATTTTGACATTCTTAACTGCCATGTCAAGTGTGAAAACCACTTATCCCTTTGTAATAGGCACCAACCATACTTTTACAACACCATATAAAAATGATTCCGCTCATGCTGTTTGTTTATGAGCGGGAATTAGACTGGCAAGAGGGGATGGCAGCGTTGAAAGTTGGATGCACTGACTGCGCTTTTGGAAAGCAGCTGCGCTCTCTTTGCAGCGCATGTCAGCGGTCTTAAGCAATGAACTACTTGAATAAATCAATAAAATGAATCATCCAGCTCAACTATAATGGTGAAAACAAATCCACCGCCGTATATTAAAACTATATCACAACAAATCGTGAATATAAACATCTTACAGCATGGATGCGCTAGTCCGGCCCTCATGAGATCTGTCTCCTGCCTGTTTTTATATAATTCCCCCCTTCAACGCACCTGAATCAAATGATCAACTCATCGACAAGCTTTGCAGAAGCCAGGTAAATGATCTTCATAATTCGAGGGACTCCACTTCCTGGTTTACAGATGTCAATTCCAGGTCCAGAAAGTAAACCTAACCCTGCCACAGTTTGGCTTTAGTCACAGGTGCTTCGAATCAACGGGCAGGGAAAAGAGCTGCCATGAATTTTTACTTTCTGGACCCGGATTTGACATAGATGGTTAATGATCATTGATGTCAATTTATTCTTGCTTTATTGTCATGTTGTGCTGAGCAACCTCGACAGAAATGTAAACATTTAGAACTGACAGCCCCAATCCCCAATAAAAATAAATAATTAATAAAAATGTGTCAAGTATGCAGAAGTAAGATGCGGGGATAAATCTGGAGTTAGTCTCTTCACAATAACACAGCTAAATTTGCTGTTTATTGTAAATTATTAAACACATTTCTCACTTGTGTAATTACTCGTCAGTATTTCCCCAACTTTATTGAGTGAACGCTCATGTTTTGGATCAGAAAATTGTCTTTCACACTACTAAACATAAATTACGCCAAATGGTGGATACGCAGGTTAGTTATGTGCATTCTGCCACCTAGTGGATGCGCATTAATTGATCTTCCTGTTACTACACGTCGCTGACATAGATGGGCGAAAATTTTTCGACCTTTGGCGCTCTGTAGCGCGTACTGACAGCCCAGCCTTCGACATCCATTTATGAACCTCATATTCTCAGTCTACACCTCAGCAGTTTGTTTACTAACACGCAGTAAACTGGGATTAGCGTCGCTCACATGTCCATACATTCAAGGCACTTGACTAGCTTATGTTGGGGATGAGCGTGTGTACACACATCTTGGGTGTAAACACCAATTAAAATGATGTGTAATAACACTTAAACAACTACGGTACATATGATAACAGCAGCTTCATAAAGGTTGCTACACAACAGAACAATGGCCAGGGTCCGACATTAACAGTGGCCCGATGGCCCAGGGACAGTATACCCCACCTATCTTTAGTTTAAGCTATGATGCTACATTACATATTTAATTTGCTTCAGCCTCTATTTCCTGACTGTCTTTTTAACCCCATTTCGTATAACTGGATCTAGGACACCCATCTTGACACGTTCATGCTGGAATCTGTGTGAATGTTGTTGTAATGGTTCTTTTGAAACATGGGTTCTATTTTCATGACTGCCGCAAGTCCAGGGCAGCATGTGGTCGAAGTCTGTTAGTAATTTCCTATACACGCAAGCAGACACATATAAAAACGGCCGGTTTGCGCCACTGTGGGCGTGAACACGGCCAGCTGGATTCACCGCCAATCAAAGAGGCTCCCGTCATTCCCTTTGAATGTGGCGCACTCAAATCTTGCATGGAGATAACAATGTACGGAAAAGGACACAGTGATCTGTGCATGACCGGTTGTTATTGTGCTTGTCTGGTGCGGTAACAGACAACATAAGCGGGTACTTTCACCAAACGCAGAATGAGGTCATGAACCCCGCTTAAATATGTCTGCGGACCTCATGTTTCTATCCGCGCCGCAGATAGTTTCCTCACTGTCCATTTAAAAGCTCACACTGCTTCTTTTTGTAATAGCACAAGCATTTGTGCTGATGTAATTGCTGGATGATGTTTATTTCAAGATATGATGTTACCATTCATTCATTCATTAGCTTTAGCCTCTGAACTTGTACTATGTGATACAAACACCTTATTGAACATCAAGATTAAAGAACAGAAAGGTCATATATATTTAAAAAAACAAACAAAAAAAAAAACCCAACGAATGAAGCCCAGTGATCAAATTACCCCAGCAGATTGTTGTCAACGGCATCCGCCACTCACAGCTTAATCCAAACCGACATCTTCAATCGGGGCAAAAAAGAAAAAAAAAAAAACGCAGAGACAGCTTTGGCTTTAATTCTTGATCCGTCACTTTAAAAAGTCACATGATACTGGAAATCAACCCAACCTCTGAGCTCTCTGCAACAAATATTCTAAGTGGACCGTAGATGCCGAAAGTATGTCCATTAATATTTACGGTTCACCGGCACTTCCCAAAACTCATACTTTAACATCAACTGGAAAGTTAGAAAAAGTGATCCCCGAAACCAGTTTTACAGATCAACACAGAATTGGTTGGTCGAAGCAGAATTAATTCTGTAGTCTATAAAACCATTTTGTCTCTGTGACAATTTACAGAAGAATGCATCCAAACCAATCGGCAGAAGCTCTGTCGTGCAAAAACATAATGACGCAAAATATGCTGCCAACTGGGTAAAAAGTGTCTTCTGCCACCCAATATGAAACACTTTTCTTTCCCTTGCGCCTTCAGAGGGATGAAACGAAAAAGGCCGCATGTCTGTCGTCACAGCGATGAGTGAGTCGTCGTCCGTTCACTCTGCAAAGCTCGTCTCGTTGGCCCGCTCGCTCTCCGGACTTGGGCTCGACGCTACCAACGGAGCCCCCCCGGCTGTCGGCCTGCCTGACGACGACCAGCCTCCTCTTCAGGTACCGGCATCTCTATCTCTAAGGCCATGGGAAAACGTTTTCGCGCAAAGTCCACATTTGATCTTTATAAGGGACGGATGCGCCAAGCTGTTCATAGGTGTAGTTAAAAAAAAAAAAAAGCACCTCTGAATACAAAATTTTGTATTTAAATAAATAAAATACAAATTAATTCTAATTTTTAAACATCATTTATAATATAATTACGAGTAATTTACTAATATTTAATAAGATGAATGTTGATATTTTTTTCACATTTTTTGACTGACAATAAATCAATGAACAGATTATATAATCAGATAAATGATTTTTTTTTTTTAAATGCACACTGTTAGGTGTTCATGTTACCATCTTTTATCATTCATTAAATAATTCTCTTTGTAGGAGTCCGGCATCGATCTCGGCCCAGGGCTCTTTTTTGCCGACGGCAAGAGGAAGGTGGATTATGTGCTGTGCTACAAATTTAAAAAAAGGCGGATATCCAGGGGACGCCTCTCCATCGCGTCCAACGGCAGCATTCCCATCCCCATACCAGGCTTGTGGGAAATGGACCCGGACTCTGGAGAGCCGGGAGGAGGAGCTACTTCGGGAGATGCAGAGGAGTCAAAGTTGTCTGAGGAGGAGAAGGCGCTCATGAGGGAGGAGTTTGAAACGGGGCTGCTCGATGCCGGACTGCAGATCGAACGCGATAAAGAGGTGTGTAACGTTCTTTTGGGGCTTTCGAACCAATTGTAATCGCTGTGTTTATTACTATTCCAATCACCTTATTCTTCGGCCTACAGGTCACAGTTTTTGTCATAGTTTGGCTGGTTTAGCAACTTAAGCGTAGGTGCTACTTGAATAATTTAAAATTCCGGACTGGATTTTAAGTTGAGTTCGAACTGGCTTGATGTGTCTTTCACAACAGAACGCATGGAAAAAAAAAAAAAAAACTAAAGACCCGAGCAATATTGAACAGGAAGTCAGCCATTTTGGGCAGAGATGAGGGCTCTGTACTTTGACAAACTCCCACTTAGGAATTCAACCAAGTTAGATTCAGAAGGTTTCCAAGACTGCATTTTGTGGGCAGACCACGGTGTCAAACTGAATGATTATCATTTCAAAGATTTTTCATGCCTTTTCATTGCTGCTTTTTTGATTTTTTTTTTTTTTTTTGGATAGACAATTATGGGTCACCATTAAGCGAAGCAAACGCATTTACACACGGGAGAATTTTTCTCGAAGGACGTGTGTAAGAGTATTATTTAAAACACGTTCATCAAATATACACAATTGCATTATTGGCCAAATTTGTACTATGTTAAAAGCGACATATTTTGGAAAACTCCAGTCTGTGCCTGCTCAGTATGAAATTGAACAACCATGCCATCTTTTGTAACACTTGGCTTGAGTGATGGCATTTCTGCAGCTCAGCCACAAAGCAAAACGTCGCCCAAGCTACGGCTCGTAACTGTATTGGGGAAAATGATGGGAAGATTTCCAGCGGAATACCTTGGCGCTCATCTGTTCCTCGTTAGAGAGAGAACATAACGTCTGCGCGGAACGACAACATAAGCGCCCTGCCTATTTTAGACGCAACGCTGCATGGGTGTGCTTTGTGTGCGGGTTGCGTGGCGCTAGAGTGTGTGATCAGCTGCTGTTTTGGTTGAGGATTAAGACCCCGCTGACCACAAGTGTGAAGGCAAAGGCCAGATTATAGGGCCTTATTAGAGAGTGATCCACTACTCAGAAGTGTTTGTGCTGGCGCGAGAGAGCCGCATGGCCGGCGGGTGGGGTTCGCTTTGATTGAATGAGTAGACACGTGTCGTCACTGCTGACCATCTGTCAGTGACCCGAGTTTTTTTAAATTTTTTTTTTAGGAAAGTCGACTGGGTGAGGAGTGCAAGATTATTTGTGTGTGAATGCTGCTGACGTTACGTATATATATATTTTTTTGATGGAGCTCTTTTGGATTTCATGAGATTGTGCAAGTGTTTCTAATGTTTTGTCCAAGGAGAGTGTAACATGTGGGACATATTTTTCGTGATCTCGCAACGCAGCTGGAACAGGTGCCACATGGATATTTGGCATCCCGGCATGAAGGTCATCGTTGAAATTAAATCTTCTGTGATTCAGGGGTGCAGTTTATTGCTTTTGATATACAACGATTATCACCAATTGTCCCTCTTTCGGGACCTTCCTGTAGTAATTAAAGCATAAATCTCATGGAAAATTGCCTTGTCTGCAAATTGTAGGGTGCCTGGAATGTCTGCCCACCCAAATTAAAATAAAATGAAATTCAACAAAATTTAAACAAAGTATAGAATCTTTGGTACAGAAGTCCAGTTACCAGATTGTGATGCCCACTGCATGCACCGCATGCCAGGACCTCCACATGACATCAAATGTAATTGGACAGCATGGCGATGAAGTGCTGCCTCCATGAGTAAAAATACAATTTTGGCTTTTTATGCAGGATGGCTCTTGTGGCTTTGTGCATTCAAATAATTAGACGGAATGGCTTTTGACACAAAGGGGCATCAACAGTGAATCTCACACTGCTTAAAGCTTCACACGGTCGACCTTGTCAGAAGCCAGCAAATTCACTGGTTGGCTTCACGGGTTGACTTCAGTACCTTACCGAGACGACTGGACAGGATAGTGCCTATTCAAGAAACGTTCTGTTGCACATTTTGTTCACATGCCACTTTAAAAATGAAGCTGTCATGGGAACTTGTGTTTATATGCAGAGGGCAAATGGCATCAGTTTTATCCGGCTGCACATCCCGTGGGCAATACTCAGTCGAGAGGCCGAACTTCAGAAGATCAAAGTTGCTGTCAAGAAGGTAGCTTTCTCACACTTTTACACACTTTTTATGTAACTTTTGCACTCACGGGCCTCATTTGAATTTTAAAACGTGCAGGTGGGCCAGGTCATTTGTAGCTGAGGTAAAAAAAACAATAAATCTATTATTTATAATCGTTAATTTTAGTAGTAGAATAATAATTATCTTTTTGATTACAGCATTGTTATAATTATTGCATATATTAATGAGAGTAGTGAAATATAATTCTTTAGCATTTTTTAAAATTTGAAATATATACACCAACCAATTACTTCGTTCATTTAAAAATAGACATTTTAGATTATTCTAAATTATTCATATTTGCATATTATTTTCAATAAATTATTTCATGAATTATTAAGGAAAATTATTGTATTACCAATATGTTAATTAACCAATTGATAAAAGGATAAAAATGGACTAAATACATTTTAAATCACCAATTTTAACACAAAAAAATCTGTACATTTAAGTTACAAAATATATGATTCCTGATACAAATATTAAAGCAGAGTAGGCTAGATGAAGGCACAGAGACTAGTCGTGTACCTTACCTATTCTAAATGCTATATTTTGTTTGTTTCTTTGGCTTTTTTTGTTTTTGTTTTTGTTTTGTATCAACTGATCAGAAATGTGAGCTGCGAAAAAGAGCGGGCATTGCGGGAATGTGGGACTCCTTGGCGGCGAAAATGAACACGCCGTTCCAGCCGGACGTCCCCGACTTCGACGTCCAGCGGGACCCGCAGACGCAGGCCCATTTCAAGACGCTCAAACACCCTTTCATCAGAGACAAGCTTCACCTGTAAGTAACAGCGCACTCAAAAATTACAGTTGGTCCTCAGTTTACTCCCAATGAACAATTTAACGTTTTACAGTTACCAAAGTGGCAATTGCCACACAGAAATGCTCCAGTTTTTTTTTTTTTTGAGCTCCAACCGTCACAAATGACATGTACGTTGTCTTCCATTTTCACGTCCTCACTGTGTCACAGTGGGGTGTCCATTTTGTGTATTTTCCGCAATAATATTAAAAAAAAAAAAAAAAAAAAAACCTGGCAGAAGTTTGTGTCTGACTCGGCATGTTCTCCTTGCAGGTATGACATCACGTCGACAGAAACTGTCTTTGACAATACGACACGCAGCAGAATAGTAAGTGGAGAACTCTGCAATTGGGCTGCATCGTACACTGCAGGTCCAAGTGACCAGTTTAAGACCTGTATGCCATTTTTTTGGACTGGCAGTTTGACACATGTGCGATGTAGCATATGTATATCATATTTAATGTCTCTACCCCTCTAATTAGCATATTTACACCACATTTAATAATCTCGTTACGCCTCTAATGCAGTATATTTAGCATTCGCAATAGTTGAAATATACAGTGTGTCTTTTTTAATGTGTTTATTTGCGTCGTTGTAGTAGACACAGATGTATGGACAGTATGTCAGCAACCAGTATTTTTTGAGTCAGGTATTTTGTCCACATTTGATAGAAGCCTGCTTCCGGTCTTAACATATTCAATTCCATGCATTTTTTACCTGAGCTTCACACTGCCAATCTCAATTGTGCCATTTGAAAGCAAAATCAACTGGAATGGTGTCACATGAACCACGGAGTGTAAATCCAGACGGTGTTTCATAACCCGCATGCTGTGTTTGTGTGCAGGTTGCAGAGATTATTTCACGCACAACCTGCAGACACTCCTGCCAAACCACCGGTGAGGACGGCATTGACCTTCGTGGCTATTGTTTTAATTATTTAGATCTCTCATGAGTCATGATTCCCTGAATGCTATCACTCTACTGCAGGCATCATGTCTTTATTGGCTCGGGGGGTCTACATCTCTGCCTTCCCTTTGCATGACGTGAGTATCCTCATTCGTCAGGTGGTTTTGGGTGACGTCACGCACCGAAAACAATTCCTTGACGAATGTTGATTGTGCCTGTCAAGTTACAATACATAATCGTCACCGGGTATGTTGGGGGCGGACGAGCGGGCGTCACACAGCTAAACGTAATAGATGACGGGAGGAGTGGGTGGCTGGTGTGTCTGGTGGACGGCACATTACGGAAGTTAATCAATGATGAGGACGGGGTGTTGGCCATCAAGCAGTTCGACCAACCTGGCAATAGACTGGCCTAACGTGGAAATGTAACACTTTTCCCGAAATTCCCAATGGCCAGTCCGCCTCTGAGTGTATTTCATTGATCCAATTGGAAATGTTGTACATAAGGGCTTCTTTTGGAATACAGGGCCCGTTTTCCAGGAGAGGAGGTAAAGATCAGCGAAATGACAGACAGGTGAGCCCGGTTTATTTTGTCACTGAACAGTAAGCATTGCAAAGACATTTATTTGTGGCGGCATGGTTGTGCCTCAGGTTCTCCATGAAGAATGGGCGAACTATGGAGTCATGCACAAGTACCAGCCTGTGGACCTGATCAGGTTGCTCGTTCACTGTCATCCAACCTTTCTTTTTCTAGAGAGCTCACCCTCATTAGGGTGGCAGGTGATCTGGATTCTACGTTAACTAAGAAAAAGAAGCATGGTTAACACCGGAATGGTCACCAGCCAATCGCAGGGCACATATCCGACAAATATAGACATGAGTTAGTGTGTTATAATCATACACAATATTAATTCCTACTGACCTGTAGCGACAAAGCAAAGCATGGAGAGTCTCTTGTCGCCGAAATGCATGGTGGCAGTCAGTGAAAAGGGCAATCAAACATACTTGACCAACAGCCTCTCAAATTGTCCACACTCGGTCCCCTACAGTAACCCTCGCGTTTCCTCTCTTTACGGCAATCTGCGTCTCCCTTGACAATATTTTTGTGGTTCAATCAAAAATAAAACAATAGACCATTATGTATGCGGTGACTCAAAACCTGATATAGGCTAGCAGGTTTTTCATTGTGGCGTGCTAGGAAGAGACGCTAAATCTCTAAATGCTTGCTTGCTCTGCGGCAAAGAATCACTGGCTGTATTATTTTCATCATTTATTTATTTATTTTTACAATTGTCCAGTTTGGTCACCTACTACCACATCTCTCGGTATCGGCAGGCTTTAGGTTCATTGAGGAATCTAAATCGTCCATTGATGTGAATGTGAGTTTCAATCTCTGTTTTTAGAAATATGCCCTGAGATTGACTGGTGAACAGGTTTCACTGCATCGCTCGTCCCGATTTAGTTGGGATAAATTCCGGCTCACCTGCAACCTGCTTTTTTTTCCCTCCCGGGGTCAAAGGAGGGATTTGTAAGGGGGCTGAGAAAATAATTCAGAAATATATTTTAGAATGTCAACTAAAATTTTGGAGGACCTTAATTGGGGCTACACAGATTTCTGACATGGCTTAAGCCCCCCTTAGCTCCGGTGTAGCGTGCATCCCTGACTGTAACCCTAATGAGCAGACACATGATAGAGAATGGATAGAATTTTGAACTACCTTGAGAATTGTATGAGTAGACTTGGGAAGACCAGAAAGCAGCACGTTAGAATAGTCAAGGCAGGATGTAACAACAACAAAACAATCTTCATGTGTTGCTTCTAATTTGAAAGGAAGTACTTTGGGGAACAGATTGGCTTGTACTTCGCCTGGCTGGGTGTCTACACTCAGCTCCTCATCCCTCCGTCAGTACTGGGCATCATTGTCTTCCTCTATGGCATCTTCACTGTGGACACCAATGTGCCAAGGTAGGCGGATATCCTAAATCTTAACACGTGCGTTCAAAAAATGTCAGTAACTTTTTTCAACGGCTCTGTAGTCAGGAGACGTGCGACGACAACCTGAACATCACCATGTGTCCGCTGTGTGACGGAGTTTGCGACTACTGGCGGCTGAGTACAGTGTGCTCGCTGGCTAAAGCGTCCTACCTGTTTGACAACGGAACCACGGTTCTCTTCGCCATCTTCATGTCTCTATGGGGTAACTATCATGCCACTAGGCATGGGACGATTTCCTGGTGGACGTTTTACAATGGTTTTAAAAGTCAAGGTTTCAATAGCTGCCATGTCATGGGTAATGAGCTCTTCTTTTGTCTATTTTGAGGGGACGTCTAAGCAGCGTACAATGGTTGGCTGTTTGCAAAGCGGACTCTTTGAAGTTAATTGCCTTTTTTTTTTCCTCCTTGACAAGCAGAGAGGGGAGGGGTGAGCAGTTATGTATAAAAGAGGAGAAAGGTGGGAGCAAGAGAGACTGCAAAAAATAAAATAAATGCCAGAAGGTTAGCCCCTGGGACAACATGTCCTTGGTCCCACAGGTCTCAGCAGTAATGGGACACTGTGAATGACTCAGAAGAATTAAAGCAGTAGAAGAATGTTACCATTTATCTGTATAATTTAAACTTGACACAGTGCACATTTCTTCTTGTGTGTGATCTTGTAGCTGCTTGCTTCCTGGAGCACTGGAAACGGAGACAGATGTGTCTGAAACACACCTGGGACCTGACTAGCTTGGAGGATGAGGAGGTACCATATGTGTCAGGCACATGCTGCGTGTCATTATTTGCTTATACATCGCCATTCTGAGCATCTTGCCTCTGAACCCTTCACATCATCATCTAAATGTCTAATCCTTTGTCAGTTGAGTTGAGAGGGTTAAATCTCACGGTCTCGCGGGTCAACTGGGATGTTGACCCACACACACACACACACACACACACACACACAAATGTAAAAATGTAGGAGCATGACATCACTGGTCATGAATGGTTCCTTCTTAAATGAGGCAAACTGTCTTGAAAAGGATGACCATAAATACTCACTTGCCTGTAATAGCTGTCACCTGTTTTATGCATGTTTGTGTGTCCTCTACATTTGCTGCCCAAAGGAGCGAGTCCAGGTGAGCATGTCTCTCTAGTCATTTGAACGCAAGAGCTGGGCAATATTGCCTGAAAATAAAATCTCAGATTTTTTTCTTTCCACAAAAGTCTGATTTCCAATTTTAATTGATTTCTCAAACAAGCAGAGGACAATAAAATGATTTTTTTCCGCAAAAAAGAAGCAATAAATGTACAATAATCAATAATACTGTGTGTTGTAGGAGGAGCTGAGGCCTGAGTATGAAGAAGCATTGCAGGAGAAGAAAGCGAAAATGAAAGCAAAGTGGAAAAAGAAGGTGCTGTATCTGATTGTCATGACTTGCGGTGGTGCTCAATGTTGGTAAAATCACGCCAAAAGTGTGTTGTGTTGCAGTTGACTCGAAGTGGGGATGGAGTGGATGGAGAGAGGGACCAGATGCTTTCCTACCAGGTACCGCCGGGAGAGGTTTGTTGTTTAAGTGGGTGGGGAGGAGGACGGGTTTGTTGCGTTAAGGTGATTTAAACCACTCCTGGGAGCTAACACTTATCCTAATCTTATTTGTTCAGCAGCACTGGTCGTGCACTAATATCCACAAATGTCATCATGCGAACATTTCAAATGGTCTTACCCGAACAATTATATTTTCACTCACTGCAGCATGTGCATGTTTTAGTTTTAAACGTATAAAAAGCGCAGAGGAAACACCCCCAGCGCTCTGCGAATGGTTGAGTCCAAAGCTGCTTACCTGCTTGAGATTAGCCCAGATTACTGATGGGGAGAGAAAGGCAGGAGGGAGTCCACGTTTAGCTGGCATACATACACCTGCCAGGTGGAAAACATAACACCCAACTTGTGTGTGCAAAATCCAGTCAGGAAATACAGTGTCTCTCTTGTTTTTACCATAACTGAATTGTGTGTACTAAACAAATGATGTGTTGTCGCTCCGATAAATTCCCCTTTTTAGGCTATCAAATGTCAAAATAATTATGTAAATTAAACAAAACAATTTGTGTTACTTGAGAAAAATAACACAAATAATAATTTTGTGTACCACAACCTACTCTTCCTTCCCTTTATCCACACACGCGTTTTATTCCATTGCTGCCAAACACGTTGCTTGCTAGTGCTACGTTAGCTGCTGATGTTTGCCAACCGACTTGTTTTGGGCCTGGTTGATGACCATCTTAGCTGGCGATTGTTGTGTCAACTTTGGGAAATAACAGAAAGTGTGCCTTTAAATTTAGTGTATGTTGGATGTTTGACGGAGCTTCTTTTTGGGGTTGGACAGTAGACAGGGGAACGTAGAAGTATTAAGAAGAAGATTTGGGAGTTACAAAATGTACACATCTCTGCTTCCTTCTCTGCATTCTCTCCAGCTGCGTCATGGAACAAATAAAACAATATAGCTTGTAAATATAGGTCACTGCTACTTTTTAGGTCAGCCCTGAAACTGATAAAAAAAAAAAAAAAATTTAAAAAACGTGATCAACATTTTTATTTTGATTCTTTTCCACAGCTCGAGCCAGAGTCCCTGGACATCGAGGATCACCTGCCCGGTTACCTCATCAACATGTCCACACTACTGCTCCTGGTACACCTGTATTATTGGTTCCTGTTAAAAATAAAAATTCCTTTTAAATCTCAAATAATTCTTATCAATATATGGTAAATCCTAAGGGGTTTAACGACATCCAATACAAGAGCGGTATTTTTTTAAAAAAAAGTTAAAAAAAGGGCATTTTCAGGAGTTTAATAATTGTAATTCCACCTGCTCATCTACAGTGATTACAACATTACAACTTTAATCGTAACGTCTGTCATGTCAGTCACAATATTTTAAGGCCCATATATTACATTTACATTGAAGCAAGCAATTCCAGTCAACCTCAAGTGTCTGTGTGTGTCTGCTTCCAGGTTTTTGTGACTTTCTCGGCTGTGTTCGGGGTGGCCGTGTATCGCATCTGCATGTTAAGCGTGTGGTCCATGAACCCCGACCCCGAGGCCAAAGCCAGTGTGAGGATGACGGTCACCACCACGGGCATCATCCTCAACATGTTGGTGGTGCTGGTGTTGGAGGAAGTCTACGGAGCCATTGCAGTGTGGCTGACTGAGCTGGGTAAGCATCATCAGATCTTAAAGCGGATATTCACTTTTTACACAATTTAAAACAATTAGCAGGTGTATTGTATTTTCGCCTGTGAATGCAGCACTTCATCAACAAGCTGCCAAATTACGAGTTCTGATCATGTTTGTCTCATCCAATCAGAGCTCCCAAAGACACAAGAAGAGTTTGAGGAAAGGTTGATCTTCAAGTCTTTCTTTCTCAAATCCATGAACGCCTTTGCACCTATTTTTTACGTGGCCTTCTTCAAGGGCAGGCGAGTATTTTTTTCCCACATCCGTTCACTCATTTGACACCGCGCCACCTCTTTATTCCTGAATCCGTGTTGTTGTCGTCATTCAGGTTTTCCGGTCGGCCTGGAGACTATGTTTACGTCTTTAGCGACTACCGCATGGAGGAGGTGCGCCGTCCCGTCTCGCTGTGCTTCTTGTGTTTATTATGACATTGTTCTGAACGTGCTTTCTCTACCCACCCCGCCCCCCCACCCCTCCCTAGTGCGCGCCTCCAGGCTGCCTCATTGAGCTGTGCATCCAGCTCAGCATGATCATGCTCGGAAAACAGCTCATTCAAAACAATGTGTTTGAGGTTCTCATTCCGTAGGTTCACCCGCTCAAAGCCTAAATTCCTGACTTACATCAAAGATTACAACTCATAGTGTTTGTTTCGTGTCCTCTCTAGTAAGTTAAGGAAGATGTACAGAACCATACAGGAGCAAAAAGGCAAGGACAGAGGCGGTGAGGAGGAGATGGACGAAGCCGAAGAGAAGAGATCCAAGCAGCAGTTCCACAAAGACTTTGCCCTGGAGCCCTTTGAGGGCGTGAGCCCGGAATACATGGAGATGAGTGAGCGTCTTTTTCCTCGTCCACGTTCGTACTTTTCACCGGCACACAATTCCAAAGAGGTGTCTTTCTGTCCGCAGTCATCCAGTACGGCTTTGTATCTCTGTTTGTGGCTTCCTTCCCACTGGCGCCTGCGTTTGCTCTGCTCAACAACGTCATCGAGATCCGCCTTGACGCCGCCAAGTTTGTGACCGAGATTCGGCGGCCGGATGCTGTTAGGTGTAAAGACATAGGTACACTGAATATACACGCGCATGCGCACATACGTACACAATGGCATGGCTGTCACTCGGACTTTCGGGGAACTTTTAATCACTTTTTTTTTCCCCTTTACCGTTCCTCCGTTTGTGTCTCTGTCTGTCTTTCCTACACACACGTCGGCACATAAATTGTCTTCCACTCCCCGCCACTTTGTTTCTCCTTTCTTTTCTTTCTTGTGCATGCCACCTCCAGGAATATGGTACAACATTCTCTGTGGAATCAGCAAGTTTTCTGTCATTACCAATGTAAGTGTGGGCGTGTGTTTTTTTGTCCATGCATGTTGAATTATGAGTTGACGTGTCACCTTGGCCCTCCAGAGAAGCACCTTATTCATCGTGGAGTGCTATGAAACTAAAACTTATAGTTTAACGTCAGATTTTTTTGCAAACCCAGAGATGAGTGTGCTCACAAGTGTGAAACAAATGATTGACACCTGGTAAGTGATGTCTTCTATCCCTGATTGGTTGGATCTCCTCGGACGTAGTGGTTTCTAGGTACAGTCAATATTTACATACGCGTGGTTCCTCACCCGCGGATTTTCATATTCATGGGTGGTTCCCCCCCCGTTTATTTATTTATTGACCCAATTTCCCATTTATTGAATGTTCATCAGCGTTTCTTCAGAGTTTTGGGGGGTGTAAACTCCAACCCAAACGTTCCGCAACGCCCCTCCCCGCCCTCATGCATTTCAATCGTCGGCTGGTTGATTTTTTTCACAGATCATTTTTATCATCTACTAATGTAAATCATCATGACTCTTTTAGCGAATATGATTTCTTTTCAACTCCTCCTTTTTCCCATTGTTAATATGGCCTAGTTGTGTGTGACGAAAAGAAAAACTAAATTAATCCGTTTTGGTATAAGGCTGCAACAAATGACTTTCTCGATATGTGCTCTGAATTCGGCAAACAACCAGTCCAGCTCACCCGAATAAGAACAAGCGCTATTAAAAAAATATATACACATTTAAATGACAGGTACCACTGATTAATGTTCTTGATTTGTGGTTTGTCTCCACAGGCGTTCGTTATCTCCTTCACGTCGGAGTTTGTGCCTCGCATGGTGTACCAGTACATTTACAGCGGCAACGGCACCATGAGCGGCTACACGGAGCACTCCTTGTCCTACTTCAACGTCACCAACTTCCCGCCGGGCACCGCGCCCAACACAACAGTATCCATGTGCAGGTGACCCGGATTCCTTTAAACCTTCACCTTACTGCTCTTTCCTCTTTAATCCTTGAGCTCAGTGGACTGAACCCCAACCTTAAGAGTAATGTATCCATGATGTCACAATACCGACTTGATGCCATGCTATATCTCACTTTTGTTTTCATTAGGTATAAGGACTACAGGGATCCACCGTGGGCCCCGGATGCTTACACCTTCTCGAAACAATATTGGTCTGTTCTGGCTGCAAAACTGCTCTTTGTCATATTCTTCCAGGTAAAGGTTTTGGATTTGTTTGACCAGGGGATGGACAGATGGACTGTCAATGCCATTAAATTAAAAGGGGACACATTGTGAATGTAATGACTCGTCAGCCGCGATAAACGAACCACAAAATAGCGAGGGATCACTGTACTGCAGTAATTGAGTGTAATCGGGCACTTGGTAATGAAATACTGCTTCCATGGGCAAAAGTACTGTACAATCAATGCTTTTATTGTCTTTATGGGGCCTTGCTTTTTTTTTTTTAAACCAGGGGCTTGTTTGAACACAAGTAGCCACTCTCGTCACTGCCCCTCATAGTTTAGGGTAACAAATTCCATTCTAGCATTGGCATTCTGTTTAGTGGAGTTTGGGTGGAGGGAACAGTGGCTCATTTGCGTGAGCCGAAACCAAACCAAATCCCCCAAACAGGTTGATTTCAATCAAGCATGCCATTTTATAGACACCATAAGGGCTGTTGTAAATTGGAAATGTCAGTTGAAAACTGTACCCGTAACAGTCAGATGACGATAGTGTTTGATTCCTTTCAGAACCTCGCCATGTTCCTCAGCATGCTGGTGGCCTGGTTGATCCCCGATGTGCCGCGGTCACTTCGGGAGCAGCTGAAGAAGGAGAACATGATGCTGATGGAGTTTCTGCTTAATCAGGACCAGGAGGCCCACGCCAAGGCGCTCTCCAGCAATCGCTCCGTCTTGCCCTTCCCCGCCACCATAGACATTGTGGTGGAGGCGCCATCGGAGGAGTGCCAGGTTGAGAAGGAGGTGGGAGAGGTCGAGGAGGAGGAGGAAGAGAAGGTGTTGGAGGTGGAAGTTGACGTAGCGCAAGAGGAGCCCAGTCGGACTAGCGACAGTGACTCAGATGCGGGGAAGTCATTTGAGGATATAGTTGGAACGGGAGATGAAGAGCGAGGACGTGAAGGAGAACGTGAGGGACAAGAGGAAGCAGAAAAGTCAAAGGCTGCGGAGGAGGAAATAAAAGTAAGCACTGTAGTTTATCAAGTCAAAGAAGATGAAAAGAAGAGCAAACCTCCAGGGGAGGAAAATGAAAAAGCGGCAGCAAATGAGGAAGACAATTCGCTTGTGGATCTGGACGCCCTCATCATCCAGCTGGGCCTCACAGGTAGGAGAAGACGCCTTTTTCTGTCACGGTGTACGGCCTCACTTTGCTTGAGACATTTTGGATCGGGTGCAACTTGATCACGAGGATTTGAAGAAAAAAAAATGTATTCAGAACTAATTAGCTAACTCTCAATTTTCTTTTATCGACAGGAAATGAATTCAGTGATGTAATAAAGTTAGTTTGAAATGTTAAATGCATCCTGTTTTTAAAGTGTTTGATTTAATAATGTATTTTATTGACATTCATTTACCAATATTCTAATACCATTAAATAAAAAATTGATTTAATATGTACTCTATGGAGCCAGTTTTAGTAACAAAAAACCCTGTGTTCGGGGGTTCCTGGACCCCTAAAGTTTGAGGACCCCTGCTGTAAATCGGTGAGCAGTGTCTTCTCATAAATTCTTACATTCTCATGCAGATGAAGACGCCTCATCAATCAAAGACACCGAGATTCCACAGTCAAGCGTCCAACAAGAAATTCCATCCAAAAGAGCTTCCTGCCAGTCACTGAGCAGCTCCGTGGCAGAAATAGCACCCTCTCACAGGGACGCAAGGCTCTTCGCGCCTATCGCTCCTCCGCCCCGAGAGCCGGGCGCTGGCGGCAAGGCCCGCTGCTCCACCCTGCCTTCACGCCACCGAGAGGCGGAGACATATTACAGCCTGCCGCGACCCAGCCACTCCAGCAGCCTCTCCAGGTTTCGTCAGCAGGCATCTCTCATGCCGCTGGTCCCCCTCGAACCTTCGCTTCCGGCCAAGCCCAAGCCCGAGTCCCCGCAGCAGCGCCCCAGCTCCAGCGAACTCTTCTCTCTCAAAGGCCCCCCGCCTCAGCAGCCTCGCCCCAGGGGCAAAGCCCGGTGCTCTACCCTGCCCTCCAGACAAAAAGCCCCTGGCTCCGAGGAGCACCCCACCAAGACGAGCCATTCGACCAGCTTCACAAAAGTGGGAGACGGAGTGCCCCCTTCCCCCAGTGAACTTAAACGCAACACGGCAGTATGAGAGGAGGTTGGAGGTATCAAAAAGAGATGTGGGGAGTGATGAGGGGGACAATCTAGATTATTATCTTGCCTGTGCCTGGAGCCTCACCCACCCCCTTATTCCTAAATAACACCCCACTTGGCCCGATTATCCTTTCCTACTGTCACATATGTTTATACAACAGAAAGACAATTCAAAGACAGCGACCGTGATGCTCCAAAACGCTCCTTGCCGCTCAACACGGGAACTTAAAAACCTTTTCTTCATTTTTTTTCTTGTTGGTTTTTACCCCACAGACGCAGCTGAAATAGCCCACCCTCCTCAGTTATGCCCAATTGTGTCTCGTCACCGATGTGCGTGGGATCTTTAGAATCCACAGTTACGCTCTTAGAAAATAAAATGTTCATTTTTAGAGGTTTGTTTTGATATACAAAATAAGACATAATAAAAGAAAAACATCTTTTTATGTCTGTTTTTTTTCCCTTGTGAAATCTGCTCGGTAATTGTTTTAGATTCTTCACGGGGTGGGGGGTGTTACAAAGTTTACGAAGTTTTACAAGGCACATGAAGACATTTGAATATTTTATATTCAATCAGTATTTTTAATACAAATACTCCCTGTAGATTGTAATCCAATGTTTTGATGGGTTGAGGCCGAACATAAAATATCACATCGCTTGTTGGGGAACTACATAGGGGTTGCTGCGGCTAAAAAGACCGAAAAAAAATGTAACATTGTTAGTCAATCTGGTTACTGATGGTTGTGTGACTTTGGCTGCTAGATGCTATCTGAGTTGACAGTTCACCAACTGTAAACAAGCCACAACACTCACTCACCAGAAACGTCAACTTCTTCACTCCCCATTTTCTACCCCTGCTTGTTTTTGGACGCTTCTGGAAGCTGGCTGTGGTGTACACCTCTCGGTCCAACACTCCGCAATGATAATGTCTCACATTGTTTTTATTTCACCTTGCTGCATCTGTGTGCTTGTGCTTGTACTGCTGCTGCGTATGACATAGTAAGTGCATTCTCAAAGCCAATTGGCTGTTGGTGATGCAACACCACAAAAAGTTCGCATTTGGCCAAATGGGCGAAAATGCCAAATTTTCACCTGAGATGTGCCTGACCTTTTGGAAATGCGGTGCCAGAAACGCTCACCTCACATTCAGTCTGGGCCGCAGTATAAATGTCACGCATGGATGAAATAAGAGTCTCTTTTGTGCCCTTCCGGTATGTTGAAATAATATTGGATGTCTGAAGCAGCACCCTCAAAACAAAACATTATTGAGCTGAGGCATTCTATCTATCTATCTATCTATCTATCTATCTATCTATCTATCTATCTATCTATCTATCTATGTATCTATCTGTCTATCTATCTATCTATCTATCTATTTAAAACACACACACACACACACACACACACACACACACACACACAGACACACGTGCTCACACTGTGCTCTTGTGTATCTTTTTTTATCTTGACAATGTTCCAGCGTGTGTGACGTGTTAACCAGGTAAGTTTCCCCTCAATTCTTGCCTTTGTTATTTCAGTTTGCCAATAATAGAAGCCACCCTGCACTTCAATTGCACGTGAACTTTGATACTAACCAGGCCGGCTGGTCTCTTTATATGCACAGTGACTCTCCTAATGGGAAGGTTCCTGTTTCTCCTCCAAAAAAGCCTTGCATTGACTCCTCCTTCTCTTCGACAGAATGGGGCCCTTTGTAAGGGGGGGGTTCCCAGCATTCCAGAGGGAATTCCGACAGGTGAGAGGGCAGAAACAGAACTTTGTTTGGATGACGAATTAAAATTGAAATCTGTTTCTTTTCTTTCTTTTTTTTTTTAACTTATTCAAGTCTTTGCAGTAAGTCTGGGGAGTGTGATCAGCAAGACAGGCAAAGAGGGAGGGCACTATAACAAGTTTTCCACCCAGGTGAGCCATTGCGCTCTCTTTCGCTCTCTCTCTCTCTCGCTCTCTCTCTCTCTCTCTCACTCTCTCTCACTTTCTCTGTCTCTCTCTCTGTATGTCTCTCGCTCACGACAAACTAATGTAGGGAGTGATCGGGACATGAGTAAATATTGGTTTTGCGTGAAGGTGTCTTCATAGAGAGAGAGACAGAGAAGATCTAACAGGGTGTGTGTAAGCGGACTAAATGACTTTGACACACTGCTTATACAGCTGCCTTGAAAAGCCACAAGGTGAGTGTGGGCTTTGGCCTAAGGGTTTTCATGTGTTCGCGTGTTCTCATTTCACAGAATGTTCCTCTTTTTTTTTTTTTTTTTTGTTGTCGTTGTTGTTTTTTTTTAAACACTTTGTATGCGATTGAAGCGCACACAAGTACACACACACACACACACCTTTTCCAATGTCCTTCCCTTCCCTCTGTTCGAACTCGCCGAGAAAAACATTGCCCGCAGCTATTCAAATGACTGCATGGCCATGCTGACAAACTGACTCAACGGCTTCTCGTATAACGACAACGTGTTTCAAGGGTTTAAAACGGCGACATGGCGCGCGCAAATATCCGTCCTTTTTTTTGGGAACAAACTGTCCGCGTGTTTTATCTACACGTATGGGCAGAGTCCGCGAGAGACAGAGGACTTTACTTCTTTGTAATCTTTCCAGCTGTGAATTGCTCTCAACCACCTTTTGTTTATCAATTTGCCCTTTGCTATCTGCTGTCTTGAAATCGCCCGCCTCCTTAAAATATGGCGAACAGGGGAATCCCTTACAGTGAATTATTTTGTTGGAAATAATACAAAAACGGGATTAGATTGCTTTAAGGGAGAAAGTAAGCAGTTAGTAAGTCCCGTAAAATAAAATCAATACAGGACAATGGAATAGTGGTCTGGCTCACGCTTGAAAGGTCCCACTGTTGGATTCTTGTGTGGACTTTGCGTGTTTTTACTACAAATATAATACTTAAATTAGGTATATAGATATGAATGGTTATTTATCTATTTGTGCCCTGCAATTGACTGGAAGCCTTTACCTAGCTTTTTTAAAATCAGTTTCAAGAATATGTTTAGGGGCAGGTAAAGCCATCTCTGATTAAAAGTTGCTGTTGAAAGGTTTGTAAACAATCTTCTAAATGTCAACTAAAAGGACAAATTACTTCATGATGAGAAAAAGTTGTGTTTTGCACTGTTAAACAGACGTTGCATGCACTTTATGTGCAAGGCCGGGTCTAGGCAGGGGCAAGAGGGGGCCTGGGCCCCACAAATAAATGTTGTGCCCGCCTCAAACTGTCTTAATGTCTTCCTTGCCCCCTAAAATATACAAAATATATCAGGTTGTTTCTTGACTATGCTCCATCTCCCCTTTTCACTCTGCTCAAAGTGTCGGCCTGCTGCCAGCTCGCTGCGAGTGTTCGGGGCCTCAACTTCCAATCACCCTTCAGTATGCAAATGAGTCAGTGTCAGGTTTCCAATTGCAGTTTTCACCATTAAACTGCAATTGTAAAGCAAATGAGCTTTGTTAAACTCGTTCATTATGTTTTGTGGAGTGGCATACTTAATTGCTCATCACATAATAAAAACCGTGGTTAGTATTTTTCTTGATAATCTTTATTTGTTCGGTCAACAACAACCAAAACCACATTCCCAAATTCATTTATCAATAATTTATCAGTTAGACATGGTAAAAGGTGCTGGAGCACAATGCCACCCTCCTCATGATTTGTGGCTGCCCCCTGATACATGCCTGTCTAGACCGCGGCCTTGTTTGTGTGTCTCCCCAAAGCATGTTACACACGGTCACTGAGTGGCTGTGGTGGGAGCGTTTGTGGCTGCCCGTGAACGTCTCATGGGCGGACCTGGAGGACCGCGACGGTCGCGTCTACGCCAAAGCCTCCCAGCTGTACGGCGTGCTTCCTATTGCCCTCTGCCTGCTCATTGTCAGGTTCCTTTTTGAGAGGTGAGCAGAGACAAAGAATATGACGGTACACTGCACAAGCAATCGACATCCAAATCCCTTGGGCTTTGTTTGTTTCTTTGGTACATCTTTGCTACACAGCTGTATGTTTAGTCAACAAAATAATTAGGTTCAAAATTGCAGTTTTGTAAAATATCTACAAGCTGGTCCAAAAGTAGGTATACTCTTAAAACAGTAATTTAAATGTGCGCTTATTTGTAACAATTACATTTATTAAACACAATTTAAACTTGGGGCGGCACGGCGTGCGACTGGTTAGCACGCTGGCCTCGCAGTGCAGAGGCCCAGGGTTCGATTCCGACTCCGTACTTCCTGTGTGGAGTTTGGATGTTCTCCCCAGGCCTGTGTGTGTTTTCTCTGGGTACCCGTGCAGAGTGCACCTGCCTCTTGCCCACAGTCAGTCGGAAATAGGTTCCAGCTCACGCTGGACTCAAAAGAGAGCAAGCGATGTCAAAAATGGATGGAATAGAAAAAAAGTTATGATAGCCTCAAAATTCAAAATGAAATCAAATCCGGATAAATAATCAAGCACATTTGTAGAATAAATAATGACCTACATAGTCAGTGCCTCACTAAAAGACCGTAGAAAGTATTGAAAACAAGTGAGACCCTTATTATGTGGAGCCATGTTTTAAGACTGATGAATACTGAAAAGTATTGTTTGAGAACACCACAACGGGAGATTGTTTTCTGCGTCGCGATTGCATTTTCTCCACGAAATTGAGTCGCTGTCTTTAGAAGCTGGATGGATGGATTCAAAACGATGCCGCACTCTACTTGTGTGATAATATTCAAAGGTAAATATTGATGACTGGAGATTTTTTTTTTTCTTCTTCCCTTGCTTTTTCGGGTGCAGGTTGGTGGCCGCGCCGCTGGCCGACGTTTGTGGTGTCAAAGACAGACTACGTCGCACTGTTGAGCAAAATGCCATCTTGGAAAACTACTTTTGTGCCAAAGCGTCTGTTCCGTCACAGGTAAACTGATGCAAGATCGCGGAGTCATAGTGGTCATGTTTACGCAAATCAGTGGTCTTCAGTGCGGAAAAATGGTTTCCTTTAACATGCGAATACCCCAATTCGTGTTTTGCAAAGATACCGATTGTGTGAATTTGTGGGTCAGGCGGACGTTCGGGCTCTGTGCAAGAAGACAAGCTGGACCGAGCGAAGAGTTCAACTGTGGTTCCGGAGGAGGCGGAACCACCAGCGTCCAGGTCTTCGCAAGAGATTCTGTGAGGCCAGGTGTGTGTGAGTGTGTGATCAGTCACAAAACTTGCCTCAAATGTGATTTTTTTTTCATATTTCCTTCTTGTTTTCATATTTCAACAGCTGGAGATGTGTATTCTATTTTTTTGCATTTATTGGCAGCATTGTCGCCCTCCACGATGTAAGTGGTTGCTCTTTTTTTTTTGTACTTCTTTCATTTGTCTTTGTTTATAATTAGTGCTACCACACCACTGTTTTCTGTTGTCCTTGATTTTAGAAACCCTGGTTTTACAATCTGAAGGAGGTTTGGGCAGGCTTCCCTAAACAGGTTAAGTGTTTTGACATGTGATGAAATTCATTGTGTTTAATGTAAAGGATATTAAATGTAAAGCGTAATGAATGTCCTGTCGTGTCTCCAGTCGTTGCTGCCATCCCAGCACTGGTATTACTTCCTGGAAATGGGCTTCTACCTTTCGCTGCTCCTCAGCCTCACGTTCGATGTGAAGCGGAAGGCAAGTGTGCATATTTGAATGCCTCCTACATGTTGATTAAACCAGTTCAGCCCAAGCGCACGTTTTCTGACAGGAAAACCGACTTTTTTTTACCATTTGAAAATTATAAACAGCGGCGCCTTGAGTTTTTCATCTCGTAAGCCGCCGGGTTCAAATCTCAATTCATTGCCCGTTTGCCGTCTTTCTCGCCAATGCAGGACTTTAAAGAGCAGGTGATCCACCACATCGCTACGCTGACTCTGCTGGCATTCTCGTGGATCTCCAACTACATCCGCGTGGGCACCATCGTGATGGCGCTCCATGACTCGGCCGACATCCTGCTCGAGGTGAGCTCGCTCGCCCACCATAAGATGTTCAGATATCCTCTTCGTGTCCATCAGTGTTGTTTTTCAAATACCGCCTTTCAAATGTCATTTTGTTTTGACTTTCAACTTTTTAATGCTAGCATATTAGCATGCTGGGAAGTGGTGGGAGCATGAGAACGCTCCATGTGATATCAGATTCTGGATCAATGTCATATTTAATGTATAAACATACTGCACTGTAAAGGATAAGAATTCATTTTATGGTGGTATATCGCTCCTGTGCAACATTGGACATCTGATAGTTGTACACAAACATACAAAATTAATGTGTCTTTTTTTTTTTTCTTGCAGGGTGCAAAAGTGCTCAACTATGCTAAGTGGCATAAGATGGCTAATGCCATGTTTGTAGTCTTCACTATCCTTTTCATGCTGACCAGACTCGTGATTTTTCCTTTTTGGTGAGTACGCGCAATTCAATGCATTCAAAAGTCAACATTTTATTATCATATGAATCGCGGGGCCCTGTTTGTCCTGCGCAAGGAAAATCTTCCTTTGTCGTCCACATGGATGTCAACGTAGTGTAAAATATTGTAAACCGGTAATTATAGCAAGGCTCGAAATCAGCGGTTCCGCGTCGCAATTTGCGGGTCCAAATTATTTTTTTGCACCTCGTTTATACACACTAAATTGCTTAACAGAATCAAATGGCAATCGTGAAAAAGTAGGAATGTGTACCGGGAGACGGTCTGATCATTTGAAAGACCCCGCAAATGATTGTCAATTACTGCCAGACCGACATCAGTAAGAGCACACAGAGGAGAGACAATGCTCGAAATGGAATAGTCAAAAAAATTAGTTCTATCTGGACATATTTATACTTTATTGATAAAATCTGCAAGGAACCCAAGGATCCCAATCAGATTATTTATTTTTCAAAAATCATTCAGCTCTCATAGCAACTGTACAACTCATGCAACATTATATTATATCATTTAATTACCGGTAGATCGTTGAGTGGTCGTAACAGAAAACTAATTGAGGCTACCTGAGTGGACTCCAATCAGCTGTTTAGCATTTGGAAATCCAAATTCAATGTGATTGTCCACAGGGTGATCCACTGCACGTGGGTGTATCCACTCGAGAGCTATCCCGCGTTCTTTGGCTACTATTTCTTCAATATCATGCTGCTGGTGCTCCAGATGCTGCACATCTACTGGGCCTTCCTGATATCAAAAATGCTCTTCAAGTGTCTCTTCAGCAAGGTGTGTTTATTACAGCTGGGTGCTACGTTTTTTTTTTTTTTTAATGACACCCTCATTTTGTGTCGTGGTTTTTGCGTCTGCAGCTGGAAGGGGACGACAGGAGCGATGAAGAGGAGGATGACAGCGAGGAGGAGAGAAACTACAAGCGGACTCATATGAACGGTGCCGGAATCCGGGGCCAAGCCAATGGTCATTGATGGAATAGGAAGAGTGACTTGGACAAAATCTCAGTAGACTGTATAGAAATCACAGTGTGGTGCATCCAGAAAGTATTCATTGCAATTCACTTTTTCCACGTTTTGTTTGGTCAGAGGATTATTTCCAGCGGTGCCTTGACATAGAAATGCTCAAATTTATGCTTTTTGGGCTTGATCAATTTTTATTTTATTTATTACTTTATTTTTTTGCTTCTGAAGTGCTTTAATACCCTCACATGTGGGCAAGGAGAGTAAACCATCAAATGTGAACACTCGCAAGGACCTGCTTAAGATCACAACTAACCCCTCGACACTCACACTAACAACTTGACTCCATCTCCTGAGATCACAAGGCGACACCCCCTTAAAGGCATTCTCGTTTATTGTTTTTATATCATAGTTTTTGTGTTTGGTTTTTAAAATAAACACACATAACAAATAACATTTTATTAGAGCAAATTATATGTCACAGAACAATAGTAAGTCAAGGTACCACTGTGGATTCAACTCACCATGTGACTTGTTTTTGCAATTCCAGAACTTTTTTTCATCATGTCATTATGTGATGTTGTGCTGTTGCATCAAACTTCTTTTGGGATTTGAAGTGAGCTCAAGCCCTTTACGCACCACTTCCTCCAAGAAAGCGCCATATTTGTTGTATTTGGTAGGATTTAGTACAAAAAAAAGGTGTGAAACTGCAACATAAAGAAGTGTAAGTAAAGCGTTTATTCATACAACCCTATTGAAATGGACATAAACATGAAAAGTTGTTAGTCGTTAAACAAACACAATGAAAGTGGGGCAAAATATCGTGCCTTTATTACTTTGGATGGAGACAAACATGACCTACTTCAGTGCAACTACTTGGGCTAGAGAAATTTCCTGGTGTCGTTTCCTATTACGAGCTGAGATTGTTCATTTTTTTATGAACCTCTGCCCTCTAGTGGTCAGGAAGAAAAACTGCTGTTGTGTGTAAAGTTTTGAAGATGAAAATTATGCAACATACAATATGGAAAAGGAGAACCTCTGTGAATACTTCCCAGATGCACAGTACTATGCGATCAGATTATTATATTTGGAAGAAAAAAAATTGAAGGATAAGCCATGACCTGATATGAAGTTACATATTAGCGAAGCTTCAATAAAACCCACTTCAACGCAATTCGTATTGAATAGTTCTTCATCACAAAAGCCTCTTTCTTGCCTGAGTCATATTTGAATAGTTCCCAATTTGGGCATACAACAGCAACACGTCCAAGTCTACAGGAATCTTTTGACGTCACATCACGCCGATGACGTAGAAAGGATGACATGGGTTTTATACGCATGCGTGAAGCACTTCGCTTGGTTTATGATTTTTGGCGTCCTCTAGCGGCCCTCGCTGAGAGTTTGTGTTGGGTGAATGTTGTCATAGAAACCGCCGCGTGAGCCTTGGAGTTTGAAATTGGCTCCCAAAACAAACGACAACATGGCTAATAAAATGACCTCCATGCCCGACTTTAAAACCTACCGCACGAACGTGAAAATCGGAAACTGGAACGAGGAGCAGCACTTAGAAGAGGTATGGGGTCAAATGAGACTCTTGACATATAGGTTTGTAGGTGTTTTAGCTCCGTTTAGCCACCTTTTAGCATCGCTACGGGGAAAACCAACGAACGCGTTTCCCTCTCAGTTGAATGGAGTACATATTTTAATAACTACATGTCTGTCCACTTAGATATTCATTTTTCTCTTCACAGTCTATCTATCTATCTATCTATCTATCTATCTATCTATCTATCTATCTATCTATCTATCTATCTATCTAATATTTTCATCTACTTGTCCATCCATCATCCATCCATATTTCTTGACTAGACAAGTGCCATTACAATTTTTATGTGTCTTTTTACGACAGCATGTGAGGAGCAAGTACATGCGTAGAAGAGAAAAGGGGGAGCTGACTGCCCAAAGAGTCGACTTCCTCAAGCACAACATCCTCAGTCCGGTACCTCTATGTCTATGCACTTAAATAACAATAGTGCCACAAACTTAGTAATGACGTTGATGATAATGTCCATGTGTTTACAGGTGGAACTGAGCGTAACTACGGATGGTGCACTGCACTTTGGAGATGTTGTGATGTTGCTGAACGTGGGTGACACCGGCGAGTGTTCAGCGCTGGGCATCAACGCATACATTGACCACATGACCAAGATTCCTTCTCCTGGCATTAAAGGTCCGTGTGGAGTCAGTGCTGGGAGAAGCATTCAGCCCTGTGTGCGCACTGCATTCATTATTACCAGGTACGCGCACATTCGTGCATACACACTAGGATTGCATTAGCCGAATCCTGTAATGCTGCTTGTGTGACGACAGTGTGGACGGCACTCCCGAAGGAGCAACTCTGCATTATGAGCAAAGTTTTGCCCTGAAAACAACAAGTGACTTCACAGGTGGAGTAAGTGTATGCGTCCCCCTACAAAAAATGCACACACATTCCTACAGAATTCAAAATTATCCAGCAATACATTTTCTTTTTATTAAAAAAAAAGTCATTCTATTTCTAAAAATATATAATTATGCTTTTTTATTTTAAAATGTCTACTGCAGTGCATAATATTAAAATTTGGTATTTGTTCGCTTTTGGAGAAAAGTATTTAAATTTCAATAATGTGTTAGCGTTTTTAAAAATTTTTTTTAACATGCGCTGTCTGTGTTGGATACAACAACAACAACAAAGCCGCTTTTTACAATTTCAGATGTACTTGACGAGTGACGTGCAGACCTTCCGGAAGTGCGCGCTGAGGTCTCGTCTTCAGGAGGTCAACTTGGACGAGAGGGAATGCTTCCTATCCTGGTGGAAGTTGGTGCACTTTGACCCCCAGGAGAGGCTCGAGCATGAGGGTTTGCCCGTGCCTGTGAGTGTCTTTGTCTCTGTGGTTAAATATTTCACCCGCTCATGACACCAGCATTTTTCTGCATTTTCCACCACCGCTTTGCACCTGACATCATCATAACACGATTGACCTTTGCTTCTTTGTCTCACAGGCCAACGTCAACGTGGTGGTCCTCCACTGCAAGACAAACCAGGCTCTAGCTGTTATGGAACATTTTGTCCTTGGGTACTGTAATCCTTCACATATTTGCTATTCGCCATGCACAGATTTACTTCACTTGTTTTCTTGAGAACTTATACCTGATTATTTGGTGAAAACCTCTTGAGGATTATTGTGCTTTGAAATGCTCTAGGATTTCACCAATGCCCTGTTTAAACAGCAGAGTCATATATAGGAGTCAGTGTGAAGGAAGTATTTTGAAGTGAAACATCTGGACTAAGAGACAAGCTTTGTATGGTAGAGAGCAGCTAAATTAGGTTTAGGTTGTTTAGTGTAATTTAAAGCGAGTCTTTACCACCTTCCATGTGCAGGTACACGCTCACTTACTGTGCTATCTATCCTTCCATTTATATTATATCCTTCCATTCTATAGGTATTTCAAATATACAAGGTGAAATTCTGTATATTATGTGGCCCTTCCTGGTATACAGAATGCTGAGCCTATTTTAAATTTATTATTATTATTTTTGCTGAATGCCATGACTACTTACTATAATACAGCCTAGATTTGTTGAATATATTTTGATCAACATCCAATTGCAATATTTTTAGTACCCATTCAATATCTTTGATTCTTACTTGTACCCCCCC